ATGGGACTTTAGCCCTGTATTAGGGTTAGGGGTGTGCACCAGGGCAGAGTTAGAAAAATGAGGAGTCCTGGCTTGGTTTTGAGGGTTGGAATGTGTTTAGAATGGGCAAAAATGTTGAGCTGTGCGGAAAAAGCTACTCAAGGAAGGCTTTTTCAAACTTGCCCTCTTTTCAATGGAACTCTAGCCCTGTATTAGGTTTGGGGGAGTGCACCAAGGAAGGATTAGGCCAGTGGTGGCCTTTGCAATAAATAAGCGGGTTTTGGGTTGCAGTTTGGGCACTCAGTCTCTAAAAGATTTTCTATAACTGCCCTAGGATGTTATGCAATAAGTAATCAAAGTGCTGAGTGACTGCTTTGCTTATTATGTTGATTCTGCAATCAGGATATTGAAATCAACTGCAGCAAAATCTCTTGCTTCCATATCATAATGGGTAGCTGGAATGGAAAAAATACTAGAAAAAATAAGTTGTAGCCTGCAATGGGTACTCATGTTAGGATAGTGTTTCTAACAGTGGCTTCTTTTCTTAAAGGCTTGTGCATTTCCTTCTTGTATAATATTTTGCTGTGTATTTTAGAAAATCCTTTGACCAATTTAGATGACAGTTTTAAGGATTAGATAACAATCTACATAACCAGTAAAACTTTTCTTGGCATGAAGATGCAGCAATGGAGGAAAATTGCTGAATTCTTAACTATTACAAAGGTGATGAAAACACACCGGCCCTACGAAAGGATAGTTGTGATTCTAGTTATGTGATTGCAATGACATTCCACTGAAATTCATTTGGCTCCTGCCTTTGGTCTGATAGCTATGAGCTCGTGATATGCATGATAATATGATAGCTTGTAAAATGCATGGCAGCTGCTCCGTGGGACAAACTATTCTTCTGAATCTGTTCAGCATGGAGGAAGATGCTAGTTTTCATCACTTTTCCTTAAACTACTTCAGAAAATGGCAAAATCTACCCATGAATATCTATGGCATGTTGCTGCACATAAATTCAGCACTGTATTTCTAGAAAGGTTTTGCATTTGTCTCTTACCCTTCCTCTTAGAAACCCAGGTCCATTGTAAAAAAAATCAATCCATTTAATTATTACAATAGGTTAGTGTTATTCTGAGTAGGGAGCTGAAACTATGGCTTGTTTTAAACTGCTACCTCAGTATATCTGTGTGAGTCCATCCAGTGGGAAGTGTTAACTTAGCATTATCTCACAAGAGTCAAGCAATATGTTGAAGAAAATAAGAAAGCACCTTGTATATGTTTAAACTCCGCATTTTGCTACTGCAATTGCCTGGATATATTCTAGGGCTCCAATATGGACGTGTGAACTAGCAAAGGGTATTCCCATTGACTACAATTTGGGATTGTGCTGTGCCCAACACAAAATTCAATAGGGAAGGACAGCTGCATGGGAACATTGTATGTGCCTTTTTGTTTTTGTTTCACTTTGTTTATGTCAATGCTTTTGACCCCATTGCATATCAAATACTTTACTCTTTCTAAATGTTCCTACAACAATATTCTCCTTCACAAACAGGCAGACTTCAACTCTCCATAGAATCTGTATTTGTACAAGTGCTACAGCAGAGGGAAGCAGTTGAATGCCCTCCAAGTGTTTTGGACTACAAAAGTACCATAAACCCTTGCCACTGTCCATACTAGCTGAGGCTAATGGGAGCTGTAGTCCACGACATTTAGGCAGCACCAGGAGACCTACCTCTGCTACTGAGTGACTGCCATGTTGTGTGGTCTAGTATCATAAGCTGCTGCAACTTACTGGATTTTCTAACTGGGGAACAGCCCCTGCTCGTACAGGTGACAATGACAACCGCACAGTATCCTGATTACACTTGAAAACCAAACAAACAGCAAAGCGTCCTGCAATCCTCACAGTGATATATTGGTTTACCTAAAGCAAGACAAAAGAAAGATTTAATCGACATTATTGTTTAGATAGCAATTAGTCAAGTGAAAAGAGAAACCTTAAGGGGGGACTATGACAAAATGTTGCACTGTGCCACACTCCTGTTCAGCATTTCAGGCAATCAGGCAGCCATGTCCTTGCCCACAATACTCCATTCCACCCCTCTACACCTGCCCCTGCCATTTCGTCTGTTTTCCCGCCACCAAGAGTCAGTCATTCTTCCATGCCCACTAAACATCGACTTTGGACTGTTTTGTTCTACTTTCCCTTCACTACACCACACTAGGGTTTTGTTTTTAACTATTGTTTGTACTTTGAAAGCCTTGGGTCTCCATCAAATCTGCTGCTAACTACCTCTTTTCATGAGTGCTGCTGTTTTGGCTACACAGAGATCAGCACTCACACCTAAATATAAAAAATAGAGGTAACAATATGAATGCATAAAAACAACTTACTTTAAAAAAACATTTCAACCCCACAGGCTAAAGCTTTTTGGAAAAAAAGGTAGGCAGGCTGGGAGCAAGGGTAACTGTTTTATTTATAAGTATTCCTCACTTTATGCCACTGAAAAGCATTAACAGTCTCTGCTACTATTTTTAGTTCTGTTTCCTTTAGGTAGGAGCTCAGATGAGGGAATGATATGAAGTAAAACACTGCATCTCAATTAACCTTCACAGTCATGCAGCTGCAGCCTTATGATCATCTCCTGTAAGAGAGTCCACTCAGGGAAATGATAAACTGTTGTTTATTTTGAAAATCATACCTTATTTATATATTTAATGCATATCTTTTCTTGGTTCCACCCCATGTTGGGTTAGCTAGTCCTCTAAAAAGGTTTCTCAAGTAAATCTTAATAAAAAGAATGTGTAACTACACCAACCTTTCTGATGTGCATCACATGTGTTCATTTTAATATGAGAGCAAATTATTACATTAAATAAAATATTAATGCTTAAAGATAAATGCTGATAGCTTCATTTTTGTGGGTTGTTTTTTGTGTTGTACTACTCATAAAGAAAAAGCAAGTTTTCTCTAAATTGGACAAAACCATACATCAAATCACATAAAGTTTTGATATCTCCCCTACACATCCTCTTTTCTGTAACTTCCTTTACATAACTTCTCATAATTTTATTCCGTTGTTATCAAGTAATCATTTTGAAAGATAGACCAGACTGTGCCAAGGTTCCATTCACACTGCAATGTTCACAAACCTCCCTTCTCTCCAGAAGGAAAGCAGAATGATTTCGGGGCCTACAGATCGCAAAGGAACTGCTTGGTCTTGCATAAAAGCAACACGAGTCTGGACTGCATCCAGTGTGGAAGGCTGTAGAACCCCCAAAGGCTGGCCATCCATTATCATAGAATTTGTTTTGGCCAACATAGGCAGTCTTGAATATTTCTTCCTACAAGTTAAGAAAGCAAACATGGCCATATCCTAAAGGGATGCATATTCCAAATAAAGTATAGGCAAGAAAATAATGAAATATTCTTGAGCATATGCCATCATTAGGCAGATCAGAAAAACTGTAGAAGCCTGAAAAATGTCCAAAGGCACAAAAAAAGAGTGAAGAGTTTCTAGAATTTTTCTCAATAGGTTAAATACTTTTCTAGTTAATTTTTAAAATAATACATGTTTATTCTCATTCTCTGCTATTGCTACTAAGGACTGAAACCAAGTTGCTACCACAGTTGATAAAGCAGGCATCTTAGTCCTCAAAAAGTCATTAATTGCCATGTGTCCTTGTGTCTTTTTGCATTAGCACTGATTCCACAGTCCTCACAACTGGACGGGTATTGTTGCGTGGTCCACTTGCAATGTTGTACCAGCATCCATTTAATGGGTGCTTCAAGAGAGGATGAACCAGGCATGCATTGGAAACATGATGGCCCCATACCACAGTGCTTCAACATGTGAGGCCGTTTTGGCGCACTGTGAGTGGGTAGGGCAGCACAATGTTCCACACCCTGTTCACTGTCTGCAAACTGTAATTGGGTAAATGATGAAATCTCCGTTGGAAATCTTGCCAGGGCTAAGAACTATGGCAATGCAGGTCAGTGCTAGTCCTAATACAGCTGTGATGCCTGGATACGATTTGGCTGCCAAATAACAAGGAAAAAATAATTTTTAGTTCAGATCCTACTTTATAAGAAATTAATAACTTTTCCCCTTACAGTTTAAGAAATGTTATCCTAAACAAGTAGTCCTAGGAGGAGGAAGAGAAGGAACAGAAATAGATTCAAGCAGTTATACTTTAAGGTGCTGCCCACTCTTTCCATGCACTGTACATCATAATTCAGTCTTCATACATAAGTAATATTTGTACTGCTTTGTGAGAGAAAGAAAATTAATTCATTGTTCAACTTTATTAAGCAGGAGGGAAGCTACTGTGAGCAAATGCAGGTAGCTACTTTTTCTAAAGTAAGTTGAAGAATCCACAGCTTTGCAATTAATATTTTTCCCAGAAGGAAAACAGTCATATAAAAAGAACTAATCACAAATAAGAAGCATGAGTATTACTTGTACAATAACTGGAACATCAAGCTTTCCTGCTCCGGGCCATTTCCACTGGCGCAGTATTTCTCCATCTTTGTTAGTCACCAGGCCTCCTTCCTGATTAAATATCATTGCTATGCTGTTGCTGCAGAAATCAAAAGGCAGTTTTTGTAGCACATTTTAGTAAAACATAATCAGCCACTCAAGAGCACAACTTTGATCTTCAGGCTTTTAATTAACATAATGATTTGTATACTTATCACTTCATCATAATCTTTTCACACAGTAGTCAAGACAGGTGTGCATGATGGATAAACAATGGATGAACAATCCACCCTTGGAGATAAGCAGGGAGTCATAAAATTATTTCATAATGCAATGAACATTTTTAACTATAAAATGCGAAGGTCCTTGAAAAGAAACATGTAGGTCTGGTTCTTGTAACATACTTCAGAGGACTCAGCCATATATTCTTTAATATTTAGAGCTGTAGTAAAACTCCACACTATCATCACTTATGGCTGTTATCCACAAACTCGTATAAGCAGAGTCCATTAAGTTTACATCTCAGTTCATTAACAGCCCTAACTGTAAATAAATCATCCCTGATCCTAAACACAGGGGTTGATTCATCCATGCCACTGGAGGCTTTTCCTTACAGGTAACACTGGTGATCTTGGTAGCCTAGAACACCCATTGCCAACTCTGTCCCCGTATCTATTTTGGCAACACTATTACAAGAACTAGTCATGCCATCTGCAAAATACACCTGCTCACCCTCCAATATGCCACTGTCTGCCAGCAACTGCCCATTGCATTCTACACAGGACAGGCAGGGCAGTCTCCATGTAAAAGAATAAAGGGATACAAATTAAAAAATTCCAGTATTCAAAAACCAATTGGGAAATACTCCAACCTCTCAGGATGCTCTGTCAATAAACTGAAGGTGGGCAGTTTTGAACAAAGGAATGCCAGGTATCAAAATAGAATGGCTGCAGAATGAACAGATTAAACTAATTTCCTGTGATCTGAGAAGGGACAAAGAATTTGTTTTTATGAATCACACATGTGTGCATAACAGTGTGACAATATTGGAGTTATCACCCAAAAATATTTTATGAATGGCACTAATATTTTATGAATGGTTAAGCTAAATAGCATTGTCTGTACTTTTAACACTTCAATTTCCTCTGGCCTCCCAAGCATGTATATATAAAATTGCGAACTTGAGGCTAACCCTTCATATATCTGATGAAGCAGATTGTGCTCACAAAATGGTCACCCTAATAAATTGGGTAGTCTTTAAGGTACCACACCTCTTCACTGTTTTTAGGAAAGGGTGTAACAACAGCCAGCACAGCACTTTTACCTGTGCCAGCATTATGAGCGAACCATGAGTCATCACACAGGAACAACCTGATAGACCAGGTGGACGAACCACCATTATGTGATACTGCAGCGCTGAGTTATGATGTTTTTTACCATCACATTTTCAACATCCAGGCTAGATCAAGAAGTTTGTACTATACTAGGTGAGGTGAAGAAAAGAACTTGAGGCACACTTAGTTCACAAAGGGTTAGTCATGCTGGAAGTAATGTTAGAACCTCTGAATCCTATGCTGTGCTGATCGCAGCAAATATCCCTAAAGGGCAGCTGGCTCTCCCTGTCCCACAGCACCTGTCCTCCAACAGATTGTTATGTGCATGCAACACCAATTCTAAGCAGTGAGACGTTTAGGGGTTGCAGCTTTTGCACAGGGTTCAGCATCCTCAGAGAGAGATCATTAGAAACTTGTGGTATTAAGTATGCATAACTCAAGCAGTCTCTGGTTTGCCAAAAAGCTTTCTAAGGAAATCTTAGGCCCATAGGGCAAGAAATTTGCCTCTTTTTCTTCTCCTAATTCCAGCATAGGCTGACAGGGCTCACATAACACATTCTGGCTCACTGCGCTTACTTAAGACACAGTGTGCTATGGTGCTCATGGTTGCCAACCTGAAGATTCAGCACTGCCTGTAGGTTGCCATATCATGTGACTCATATATGCAGAGTCCTGGAAGGGCTAAACAACTCTCACAACCCTGCCATGGCCTACTCTATGGTTATGGGAGGATCTTTTAGCACTCAAATAAGCTCCACCGTTTGGGTTTGCACCAAATTATAACCCACATTGAGGGGCTGACTATTCTGAATGGCATGCATGGTCACTGTAGATTGCTGTGGCTTAAATAAGATGCACCAAGCTATGGTTTGGCACATGAACAGCCCAGGTGTTTTCTTGCTACCCACACACTAGCTTATATTGTTCTGAAGGCCCTTAAAATTAACACATTTCTTAGACAGTGCTGAGAGTAAGATAAGCCCCTTCCAAAACAGTCTTACCTTTAGCCATCTACAGGGACAGACATGTTCTCTTTAAGAGTAAGGAATTTGCCAGGTTAAATTTGCACAACCAGCTCGACCCTTTCTAACCATTTATTTTCCGAGTCAGACCCAAGTTGCTGGGAGTATCTTTGAGAGATTGTCAGATTAACCCCAAACCCACATGATACCATTAGCAAAAAGAGTTGTCCTACCTGTTAGGAAAGCAAACACTGCCATGTCCAAATGGAGTAAATGTTCCAAGTAAAGCACGGTCAGGGAAATTATTAAATATATTGGTGTAGAAACCTCCATCAGGAAGACCAGAGTAACTCTGGCAGACAGCAATGTTCCCAGAAGGATAGATAAACAGACAGTCAAGGAGTTTCTAGTATTTGTCTGAGACAGTAAGGGCTTTCCCAGATATTTTAAAATGCACTTTTAAACATAGCACTAAAGTAACACAAGCAGGAAACTAGTGCTAGAAAAGAGAAGACCTCTAGCTGCAGAGTAAAAATTTCAAATTGTGTGGGTTTCTCCTGTTTGGTATAATCCCCCCCAAAACAAACAAACAAACAGACAGGTTGTGTATGCATTTCACTGCTGATGAAGGAAAAAGTAAATAAAAAGGGAGAAATAAATTCTAAACAAGGTAAGTTACTACTGTGGAGAGGATGCAACCTTGAAGATGTTCAGCTAGGATTTGTCCAATATTTTGTTAGCTCTGCAGAGAAGTAAAATGGAGAATGCTGAACAGCTAAATACTAGGTGGAAGGTGGGAGTTAAAAATAAAGTTTGCAAAACTAGCACTGCTGCAGAGAGGGGGATGTATAATACTTACCACTAGATACTTCAATGCACAAGACAAGAGGTGCCTGTAACAACCATGCGGTTGAAGCAACTTTACCAATAATAATAATAGAGCACAGAAAATGATATTAAATGATATTAAAACCAAGCGTAAGAGTCAGTTGGTAGATAAAAATCCATGGCATGTTTGATGCAACAGGAAATCAATCTATTGCTTATCTATTCTGCATTTGACTGCAACTGAAACCTGCTCAGTACTGATTCACAGGAGGTGGTATCTCTACTACTACATCCTTCCAAATAAAATGCACCCACTGAACTTACACAACAGTGGCCTGTCCTGTGCGAAACTGACTTCAACATCCATCTTGTTTGCAGGATTTTCTGCTGTCTAGTCGCATGTCTGTTCTTTACAAAATGTATTTTTAAAGCCTTGGATAGCCTGCGTTCTAGTAACTCCAAGGCAAAATGTCAACTCTCTAAAAGCACTTTAAACATGCTTAGTACTCAAAAGGCCCCCAAGCGGTTTACAAACATACAGTACATTAGCTCTGCCCTCAGGCATGCAAATCAGCAGCAGATAATGGGAGGGAGGGGTGTCTTCAGTTCTGATATTTAGCTAAATACAGACTACTTTGCCAGTTGGACACTTGCCGTTCTAAAGTTATCTATGGCTTAGCTGCTTAATAGTGTAATTCTATGCATGTTTACTGTGTCCAAGTGGGCTTACTTCCTGATCCTTGTGTTTGGGACTATTAAACTACTTTTGAATCTTTGCTTTTAAACCTTGTTATAGAGGTATTTCTTCCCATTACTGTTCAGTGCAATTCCCTCTTATAAGTTCAAAGGATATTAAATCAAAGATGATCCATCAATTAGTCTATAGTGCAGTTTTTTAAAGACTGACTTAATCTGCTTGATCACTGGCAACTTAGGTTTTTCAAACAAAGCCTCTGAGGAGATTGTCGTACTGATACACTCTTTGATGTTTTTTGGAACGGTTTCTTTTCTGACATCACCATAATGACGAAGAATAATTGATTTGTCAAATCCAGATTCTTTCAGTATAGACAACTGTTCAGTTCTGCTTGGAAGATTACAATGAACAATCATTTACCAAGAAGTTGGCAACTTTGTGAATGCATTTTTCTTCTTGTTCAGGCAGAAAAATCAATGAACAGCCATCTTAATTAAGGCCTTGTTCAACATAACTACTGTTTAGCCTGAATATTTTTAGCAAAGCCATAGGATCTGAATAAAAAATTGACCACAGAGTATTAAAGGTGACTTTCTTCCATATGTATGAGTCAAAATTAGTTTCATTCAAACCAAATACCACAAAAGATTTTGAAAATATTATAGTTATAATCTACGTTTTGCTGTATATTTTTACTATAAAGTAAAAAAGTAGATTATAAATATAAGCCCATTAGTTGTGTTTAATTCTGGTGATTCTGGTGGAGTTCTAACATCCATTTTACACACAGGCATCCCAGTCTAGATTAGGGCTTAATTTATATTTTGCTTCTAGTTGCTGTTGTTTGAAGATGATGTACTTCATTTTCAAAAAACATTGACCAAGTCTTTGCCTCTTCTTCTGAACAAATATGTTAGCAGCCAATCATGGCCCCTTCCAGGTTTTACAGGGATACTGGCACACCCCAGGCAATGGCAGAGGAGAAAGAACAAGCAGTCATCTATATAACTGCAAAATAGTATCTTAATGGATGTTTAGCTACTAGGATGAAGGGGGAAAGAAATGCACCACAGTAGCTAGCTTCTATCACTGTACATGCTGGGGTAGAAGAGGATGTTGCACTGGCAAGTTGCATTATTTTGGCTTGCATTGATACAAGCCACTACTTGTACATCTCAGTTACAGCAAATGTACTGGCCTGGGTTGTCATTTTCACTGGTAATCAATGCAGGCAGGGTATGAGTCCTCAGGCGGCTTTATTTCAATGTCACTCAGAATTTTCTCACTATTACACACTGCTGACTTTGAGAGAGGCTTAGAGTAAAATACCCCAAACTTTAACTAAACATAGTCACAAAGCAAAAAATCATTCCAGACACTTGTAATTTTAAAAACTAACCAGAGGAAATCCAAGGAGAATCTTTGATTGCCAGGCGACATTCCTTATATCTTAAATTCTGCAACAAGATAGCACTCAGGACACCTTTTTGCTGACCAGGCTAAGAATAAGCACTCAATAACACTAAGTCAAGTGCTATAGTGTTGGCACAGGAACCTGGCAACAGTCAGCACAGTACATTCCAAATGAAGATCAAGATTTCAGTGCCAGGTTTGTGTGTGCCAACAGGGGTGATAAACATTGAAAAATAAAGCATGCTATACTTTTCTAGAATCAATTGTTTTGCAATGAAATTGTCTATATAATTAAAGTTTAAGATTTAAATAAATTTTACATGATAGTAAGAAGATGAAGTGTAAAAAACAGCATTAGCTGAAAGAAAGAAGTCATTTGATCTTTATCAAATAAACTCAGTCATTAACTAATATCTGTAGAAGGAAATACAAGGGGTGAGAGAGTATAAAGCTTCCAAAGTTGTGATAGTACTTGTTCTTAAAAATATATATTCCTTAGGATTAATGCCAACCTGAAAAAGCTTAATATGGAGCAACTTGTTTATCCCCCAAATGACATAATTTTAGGGTTATTGCTTTTGGTTGTTTGAGGTCCCCTTGATGCGTACAAAATATTCATAATTTAATTATAGAAATACATTTCCTTTGAAAAACTCGATAATCTGGCTCTGATACTTTGTATGCTTACATGATTACTCATAGCAGCATATGTAGGTCCTGTTCAGCTCATGACCCAGCAAGGATAGCATGGAGTCATGTGCTGCCTCTTCATGTTCTGGCTGTAATTTGTGCAAACCCAGGGGCCTAGCTCACTCATGGGGAGCCACCAGAGATGTACGTCCTTGCAGGATTTTTATCACAGCAGCAGTCACCATTTTGAATATTTTGGCCATAGCACAGGCTCACCATAGTTGGACATTAAGTGCAAATGTAGCAAGGGTGAGTCACTGGGGTGCTTGACAAGACACCTAGAACTCATAGGCTATTGCAGGCGTCTTCCTATCTGTAAACAAAGTCAGTGGTTCAAAAAAGCAACCTTAATTACACGTATTACACTGACTGCATAAATAGGCCTCAGTTCATACCACTGGCTCAGATTCTTGGTACCTCCATAGAATACTTACACAATTGGGAGCCCAACAGTAACCCTGCAGACTCCCATGGACCTAGGACAATCTGATGCAGCAATCCTATAGATACCTGGTAGGAATGGGGTTTACTTGTCAGTGGACATCAATAGGATTGCACTGTTGAAGGTCTATATTGGCAAGTTAACACATCTTAAACCATTTTGAACTGAAATCTCTCTGTTCTCTTACATTTAGCCACAACACAAAAAACAGCCATAATAAAATTGTATTTTCTATTAAAGCATAATACGTTTCGATCTTAGCCAGTTGTAGTCTTTCCACTGCCCAGATGTATGGTACTTTCCATTTGGGGTCTTTAGAGTCACAGTCGGAATGTTGAAAAACCCAACCTTTATGAAGAAATTAAAACTCAGAATAAGTTAATCTGAAATGTTATAGAAAAATCTTAAATCTGTTTGAAATGCCAAAAACATTTATCAATATAATAAAGAAGATCCAGTTAACTAATAATACATCTGAGTTAAAATACAACATTTAGCAGACCAAAGAACAAGCTGATAGAGATGACAAGGTGCCATCATATGGCCTTCTGACATTGTCTGGGGATCCAAAAGATTATGTGGTGCCTACCCCTGGCATTCCTTGCACCAGCTGTGTTTCCACGGTCCAAAATAGACCTCAGGGAGGAAGAAAATGGGCATACCAGAGTCGGGCAGGGAAGGGAAGATGCTTAGGCCAATAGCAAATGGAGTCCTAGCCTCCTTCCCTTTCACTCTGCAGTGCTTCATCTAGATGGCTGAAATGACCATCTCAATGAACTGCAGAACATGAGCTGTTGGTGTAGCAATAGTTGTACCAGATCTCATGTGATGCATTGTGTTCAGATGCTTATGTGCACCAAGCACAGAGGCACCAGATTGTGCCCTTAGTTGTCAACCACAGATCTTGGCCAAATAGCAAATCTTGACCAAGTCATTTTCTCTCAACCTCAGTTTTGCATCTCTTACATGGGGAAAATACTTGTCTTACCAAGTTAAGGTAATGGGCACAAATAAAATAGGCAACACTTGTTTTCTTAACCACCAATTCTGACCACTGGAAAAAAAGCTCTATTCAAATTTATTTTATCATTTCCTACTATACCAGAACTGAAACAGCTCAAAAAATAAAGTTATGCCCTTAACTATTATCCCCATTTGCTAATGTGCTTCCCCAGCTTTAGTTGATTATCTTCCAACTAAACTGATTAAAGAGAGAACACACAATCATTACCTCTTTCCTTACACAGTTCTGATGACAGCGAAAAACTGATTGCAACTGGTGAATTATTTGCATATTGTTGTGAGACTACAGCTAAACAGGAGGTAAGAGAAGTCAAAATTATTCATGGACATAAGCTCATACAAGCACAGTTATAAAATACTGCTTTGACTGCAAATTTGTAAAGAGGTCGCTAATAGTCAGAGCAAGTGGTTCTGTGCTGCTAACCTTTTTATCACTGAACACTCTGGATATTGATTAATGCTCTTGGCTATATACTGTGATTACTTTTTCACTCACCTTGACATGGAAAAGTGAAGATTTTCTAATAAAAGGCATGGAAAAAATGCCCAGTTTCTCTGCCATTTTTTATCTTAAGTGCTTATAGCTCTCTTAAATTTAGTTGCATGGCCATTTTCTAATGTTCTTCAACAACTTTTCTTAATTAATCACAAAATACACATTTGTTTTCTCTCATGATTGTGGCCTGGGATGGATAGCAAATCTTAAAGCTGAAAAATTGAAAATATGAAGCAACAGAGAAACATGTACTAAGAGAGTTTAGTTTAGAAATATAGAAACGTAGAAACAGAATGAATCAGAAGGGGTCTCACGGGCCATCTAGTCTGACCCTGGCTTCAGTCAGCTCTGCTCATGACATGCATCCTTGAACACTCTCACCAATGGCCCTATACCCTTGGGGTCCTAACTGTCAGGAAGTACTTCCCGGCATCCAAATTGAACCTTGGTAGCTGAGCTTTGCTGCATTGGAACTCGTCCTGCCCTCCTCTGCAGGGGGAAATCTTAGCCAAAGGGAGCTAGCTAATTATATCCTCATTCCCCCACCCCACCCTTATCTAATTTTCTTCAGTTTTCCATATGTAAATTTAGTGTTAAGAAAACTGTGCATTTGTCTTGGAGATTCACTGTCTTCTGCCTAAGCTGACAAAAACCTCTTCAGCTTTGTTCTATATTGCCTAGAAAACAATGTGAGGCAGGAGTATCAGCCTTTTGCCAGATGTAAATACTCCTGTTTATGCTAATCAAATAGCCTTATTTACTTGGAGCTAAATATGTATGAAATTGGTCATGCAAAACTCTGAATGTAGCTTTTAGCATGAAAACAAACTAAGTTGTTCCTATTTTTGTATGTAATGCAATTTATTGGTCCAGCTATGCCAAAACATGCTGTGTGGTATATCAGCACCCATAGCTGACTGGGGGATGTTGGGAGTTGCAAACCAGCAATTTGGACAGAGAACACCAGGTTGGGAAAGGCTGTACTAGTCTATTAAAAGAAAACTAGTAATTTCTTCTTACTCCTCTTTAACAGAATCCCAGGATTCTCTGTTTGCTTTGCAACATCAGTGGGAAAGCCAAGACTTTTTCTGCTTCCTCTTTTGATGTTCTTTGCCACCTCATAATCAGTAGATTTAGATGTGGTTGACAACATGTTAGGCTCCTCTGATGCTTGCCTTTTGCCTGTTAGTTCCTGCCAAGATTTTTCATTATCCCAGACACTTTCAGTAAGTTCTTTCCAACTGTAGTTCAAGATATTTAAAATTCCCTGAGGTAAAATGAACTTAGACTTGGAAAAATGGTTCAGCATTTCTTCTAGCTCACATAATATGGCAACAGCCGTGCATTTGTATTCCTCCCATGAGGTTGAGTACAGGAAAACTTCTGAAAGTGAATCTGAAGGTATTTTGGAAGACTGATCAAGAGGGTCTTCACAGGTGGCTTGGGATACAGAAGGACCATATGTATCAGGACAAACACGATCTTTCTTTGCTATCTTGCTTTTCACTTTTCCTTCCATGTGCCCCTCCGTGCATCCAGGATTCCTTCATGAAGACAAAAAACGTATTTTATCTTTTTTTTTTTTTAATTTTTACATTTATAGCCCACCCTTTTTCCTCTTGAATGCAAAACAGTTTATATGGTCCTCTTCCTCTTCTCCATTTTATCCTTGCAAGAACTGTGTGACATAAATTAGGCTTAGAGTCAGCAACTGGCCCAAAGTTACCCAGTGAGGATCATGACCCAGTGAGGACTAGAACGCAATCCAGCACTTTCACACCTAGACCACACTGGCTCTTTTATGTCTTATATTTTGGATACATTCTGCCTACAGTTCCAGAATATAGGTCAAGGATACTTAAGGGATAAAGAGGGTGTACCTATGCATACCAGAAGCTGCAGAATATCTGTGTATATGCTCAGACTTGCTTCTAAACAGTATCATGTAGTTAGGAAGTACACAAAAAGGACGTATTTCCTGCTGTACCCTTTCATGTTCAATTCATCCCTTTTCTTAAGTGTTTTTAAATTGTAGTATGTGCTGAACAACCTTGCTGTTTGGGTGTTCAGTCAATAATTTTAGATAAATTGTTGAAAGTTTAATAACCACCTCTAGAGTTTTTACCAATTTATTGGTGATTCATGAAAGCATAATTCCAAGAGGCTTAATAAATGAACGGAGGGCTTGAGAATGATTTGAATGACCTATTATTTGAATAATAATTAGCATACCAAGCTTATATGATGCTTCCCTCAGGTAATTTTGCTATGCAACAAAATAGTCATCAGCTCTTGCTTACCTATTGGCCAGGGAAGGGCATGAAGAAAGGAAAGCAGTTTTTATTTTGAAATGAGAGCTAATGACAAAATGACCCATCATTACTAACATATGAACATAAGAAGAGCCATGCTGGATCAGACCAAAGGTCCATCTACCCAGCATTCTATTCACGTGGTGACCCCCCAGCTGCCTGCAGAAAACCCCAAGTAGGACATGAATACATCACCCTCCCAGCCAGGCTCTCTCCAGCAAAAGTGGCATACTGTGTCTAACCCAAGGACTAGTAGCCACTGATAGCATTATCCTCCAGGGATTTTCCCAGTACCTTTTTAAAGATGTCCAAACATGAAATCTTGTACAAATGAATTCCATAGTTTAAATATATGCTTACGTAAGTAAGTACTGTCTGAACCTCTTATTAATCAGCTCCATGGGATGATGACATGTTCTAATATTATGAAAGAAGGAAAAATGTCTCCCAATTCATTTTTCCCACTCCATGCATAAAGTATGGAGTATATACATAAACATGTATACCTCTATCATGTTTCCTCTTTCTAAGCTCAACAATCCCAGAAGTAGCCTTTCATCATAGAGGAGTTTATCCAGCTCCTTGCCTGTTTTAATGCCTCCTTCCTGCACTTTTTCTAACTCTACAATATCATTTTAGGTGCAGTGACCAGAACTGTACACAGTGTTCAAACTGTGGTCACATCATAGATTTGATAAAGGGAATATGATATTGGCAGTTCTATTTTCCTTTCCTTTATTATGCCCAATGTGCCTTTTTCAGAGCAGCTACAGACTGAGATGACATTTTGATTGTCTACCACAAGATCTCTTTCCTTGTCAAAATTCTATCTTATTCCACTGGATAAGATCCAATCACCTTATACCTGAAATTGTGATGTTATATATGTATTTATTTTGCCACAGCATGCAGAATTACACTTGCTGAACCACATTTGCCATTTTCATGCCCATTTTCCCAGTATGAAAATATCCTTTTGGAGCTGCTCATAATCCTACTTAGTTTTAGCTGGTCAAAATAATTTGGTGTCATCAGCAAACTCGGGCACTTTACTGTTCACTATTTATGAATAAGTGCCCTGGTTGCAATGCCAAACACTATGGACTCTGCTGTTTATATCCCATCACTGCAAGAATGTACCAGTTATTCCCACTTTCAGCTTTACATTTTTTAACCAGCTATTGCTCGATGAGAGGGCCTCTCTTTTTATTAAGAGATTTAAGTTTACTCAGGAGGCTTTGGTGAGACTCTTTGTCAAAAGTCCAATAATATCTACCTGATTAACTTATCCACACACTTACTGAAACTCTCAAACAACTCAGTGAGACAGGACTTACCTCTCAGGAAGCTACATTAATTCTTTTTCAGAAAGGCATGCACCTTACTAAGCCCACTCATTCTATCTTTAATATGCTCTCAACAAATTTACTAAGAACAGTAGTTAATCAAACTGGCCTGCACTTTCCTTGGATCCTCTTTTAAAAATTCATGTTACATTGGCTATTTTCAGTCCTCTGATATAGAGTCTGAGTTTGGGAACATATAACGTATTTTTGTAGATCAGCAATTTCAAATGTTTCCCTAAGAACACTAGGATTGATGTTATCAGCATCCTGTGATTTATTAACTTTCAATTTGTCAACAACGCTGAGAACGTCATCTTTTGTCACCACTATTTGTCTCAGATACCTTTTCTGAAACCATCAGTTCAGGCAGAGATCTTCATTCTATATCTTTTCCTCTATCTCCCTTTAGTGGCCCTTCAATTCCATTAGCATCCAGCTGTCTCACTACTTCCTACTTGGTTTCCCATTTCTGATATATTTAAAGAATTTTTTCATCTTGCCAATATTCTTTAAATCGCTTAAAGATCTTCTAAGTCAATCAAAATCTAACAACAGCCTGACCTTGCTTTATAAATACTATAAATACTTGATAGTATTCCTAGACTAAATGAAAGGCTGAAATTGGACTGAGTGATATTGGGAAGGGGAGAGGCAGGAAAAGAGAAATGGCATACACACTCCACTCACCCCCTTACTGTTACTTGCAAACAAAGTCAACATCTGGAGGGCACCAGGTTGGGGAATGTTAATGTAGGTCATAATAAGCTAGATAAGCTAATGCACAAACTCAGTATAAGGCAATTTATTCCATACAAAATTCCCTTCCCAAATAAGTCCTCCTTTGCTCCCCACCCCCTATTTGTTCTAAAGGCAACACTTCCAGCTTTAATTAACAATGCAGGAACAAGACGCTTCATGATGCATGAAACCAGAAACTCTGCTTTGTTTCTGGGTCAAACAAATGAGAGTTAGCAACAAATCATAGGTTCCTGTGTAATTTACTAAAACTGGAAATGGTTTATACTTACATGTTCCACTTATTCTTGGCAACACCAAAGTTAAATTACTTTGGAATTGCTGCCATGACATATGAACAAGGTCACTAATTGGCAGCAGTTTTTTTTCTTGTCTTCCCCAGCGATTCTGGGGATTGAAATTGCCACCACTGGCATGTACTTTCAACATCACAGATAATAATAATCCGTCAAATAAAAACGTCTTTAACATGAAAAACCTACTGACCTACTGTTACTGTTTTTGACCTACTGTTACTGAACCAGGGTGAATGCTGCCTGGGCAATGGTGGGACTTATGGGACTTTTTCCTGTCTACACAGAATTGCACCCTCAGTTAATTTAGGATTAATCAATCATTCCAACATTGAGTAGAAAAACATATTACCAGTAAAAATTCTTAGTTTCATGAAGACTGTCACTGACTGAAATTAAATCAGCAAGCTGTAGTCTTGGTTCCATTTTCTTAAGCCATTTTCTTTTGGGTTTGGGCTAAAATAAAACATGTTTGATTAAATCCTTAATAATTTTGGAGAAAGCAATAAAATTGAATTAAACATGAAAGGGAAATTACCTGGTCAAAGAAATATATAGGTCCTTGTTCCAGCATTTCAGCCATTTTTTCCTTTAAAATTTTATACCTACAATAATCAAACATTATCCATATACAAAGAATGTGATACAGGTGAAACACTTTTATTTTTGAGGCATAGAATTGAGTACTGTTTGGAAACAAAGTTCCAAATGATATACAATGATTTGTTCCTAAAACAGTACCTAATAGGTGGAATCTATCATGATAGCTTCCCTCTCTCTTCCCCACCTGTAGGACACACACCTTCCAAAAATCTGCTCCGGAATATCACCAACATACCTGAATAGGAGACTTTAGAGAAATTATTTTCTGCTGATGGACACAGTTCTATCAATGGAACCACTTCCTCAGATTGACTCAACAGAAATTTCAGGCATAGCCTCTGATTTAGGTCTTCACCTATCTTACATATACTAATGAAATTGGGGAAGAGGGAGGGATTTGATCTTATGTGCCATCAAGCAATCTCTATGAATAAATGTGCTTTAAAATGTCCTTCACAACCCAGGCTCAGCAGCTGTAAACACAAGACTGTGGCTTCCTTTGTGGAATTAATCCATCTCATAGCTGGTCTTTGGGGTGGAAACTTACATTGGCAAAAAAGATCTGTACCATCAGAAAAGACTAAAGACAGCACAAATGTGCATTGTCAATATCTATTAATATACAAGATAACTGGAGAACTTAGTGGGACTGTCATAGATAGGACATTTTGGAGGGCTTTCATTATGAAGTTGCTGTATGTTGGAGATGACTTGATGGCACATAACAGCAACAGCATACAAAATAACTACTGAAATTGAAATTTTTACAAAAGGCAAGCCTATTAATTTCTCAACCAGATCACCCTTCAACAGATCTAATCTGCATTCCATCCTCAGTCACCAAAACCAATTCTTCTTCAATTGATCTACTTCTAGTGATCCAGATGCTCCTCCAAAGTTAATTTTTCAAGTAATTATTCCTGTTGCCTTCAATCACTACATAATTTCCACCCCCAATCAAATTAAATTCACCATAAATAGGGTGTTTGCCATAAATGGGGAGAGAAAACATGGCATGATGCTGAAGCCACGTAGCCTATGTCTCCTTAGTTTTACAACTGAGTGTAGGAAAAGAATGTATAGTACCGCACCCTAACAATGTTGTGTAATCTTTTGCATGTCTATTTAGAAGTCCTATTATAGAGTTAAATAGGGGTTATCCCAGGAAACTGGATCTAGGATGACATTTCTACAGGGCAATCCTCTCCACGTTTACACACAATAAAGTCCTACCACTCTCTGGGTCTGTGTCCTTAATTGTATTAAACTCTACTAGGTTTCAGACATTGATGCAAAGAAGTAAATAATAGATGATACTCAGTTTTCTAATTTTCATTGACTTTGTGGATTCAGTCGCAGATAAGTTTCTCTCATCACCCATCCCACAATTTTCATCCTGAAGGAAAGTTTAGAGAATAAGAAACTTTGCTCACTATTCTGTTGATCCTAAAAGAGGCCTTTCCTCTACTGTGAGTTTTGGAATTCTTCTGAAATAATAATTTGTGGATAGCTCTAGTTTACAAGGCTAGTAATAAAATTTTGTTTGTGCTCCTATTACCTTCAGACATGGTGTGAAAATATCCTTAAGTCCAAGAAATACTTCATTTATGAAACATATTATCTGATTAAGTCAGATTTATATTTCTAAATATCATAAATTTATTAAAAATGTGAATTGAGTGTTCTGATAAATGGACTAGACAGTCTCTGCCTGCTCAAACTCTTTTATCCCAATAAAAATATTCTGCTGTACACAAAATCTATTTGACTTCTTTTTAATTCTCCCTTGCTAACTATGATTCTGCAGGCTACAATTAATAAATGTTGCAACATACCCTTGAAGAAAACTTCCCACATAGAGAATAGAGCTTGCTTGGTCAATAACATCAAATGAAATAGTTAAAAGCTGTCCCTTTCAAGGGAGAGCGAAAACAAGATGTTTCTCTGTGGTGGCAGTCAGTCCATCAACACACACTGTTTTAAAGCTCCGTTGCTTGGTTACCACATGGTGTGGATTGTACTCAACTTTCTCCAGGCATTTTCTGCTTAAAAACCTAGAATCTTAAAACAAATGACCTTAGCTAATTTTTATAAATATATTCCACTGGAAAGAAATCTTTGCTTATGCTCTGTAGTCTAGCCAAACCAGTTACAGACTACTAGTGTCCACTGAAAAAAGGCATACAGTAACAGAAAAAGGTATATAGCTTTCAACATCCCCTGTCCAGGCTGGCTGGAGCAGGCTGGAAGTTAAGGGACTTAAAGGTGCAATTCTATGTAAGTTAGGCAGAAAACAGGTCTACCACTTTCAGTATGGCCCAGCAAGCTATGCATACCTTTTTCTTTCTAAAGGTACACTATTATTGTATTTAGGGTCAAAGTGAAAAAATAGGAAAGGCTTTGCAACTTAACTTTTTAATTCTATGTGTAAAGTGAAGACTTTTCTTCTGGCCTACTAAATTGGCTGGATTTTGAGTTTTAGTAGGAGGTATTGTTTAAATCTAGTCACCCTTAAACTCCATCTTGAAAGCACACCTTGATGTGGCGATAGGGTTTAAGGGTGACTAGATTTAAACAATCTTTTCCACTAAAACTCAAAATCCAGTCAATTTAGTAGGCCAGAAGAAAAACGTTACATATAACATCCAATGTGGAAAGGCATTTAAAGCATTGTACAAAAGCTGCTCATCCAAGTGCCCTTTACAAGTATTGCTCAATGAAAAGTAAAGGTACTCCTGTCTTGCACTTTCCTGAAAAATATGTTCAAAGTTGGTAAACTGACAAAAAAAGCAGTGATACCTTGTTTTGTTTTGTTGCATCCTATGTATTGATCAACAAAGGAGAAGGATGCAGGATTTCTGTATGTCTCTCCTTCCCTTGTCAGTCACAGTAGTTGTTTTGCTCCAGTTGGCCATGGTTGCATTCTTCCCCTTGGCTACATTTATTTCCTTGGCTGATGTCTGTGGGCATTATTTTTTTCTGGCTTGGGACCACACTGGTGGGCACACAGTATTTGCTTGGCTTGAGAACAGCTTGGTAGGCATTTGGCAATAATGTTCTGATTTTATTAAAATTAAACATTATTAAATTTATTTCATAAGTTAAATAACTCCCCTGATCCAGCTTTAATCATATTATGCATGACTAGCAACCCTGCTAGGTTCACATATCTCCATTCACATCAACAGATGTGATCATCCATTAAATTAAATGAGGGCTGAAAGAGCACTGAGGTATGGATGTATAGCTATGGCCATCATTTCCAGATGGGGAAATTGCTATATAAAATATTTAATTACTCTTCTTTGCATCAACTCATGTGTTCTCTCTTTCTCTCCACCCCAGCTTTATATTCCCTTCTACATTTATTAAAACTCTATTTACCCTGTCTTTTTGTCTGAATGACATTCAGACCTTCTATTAAATCCAATACAAACAAAAGAACAATTAACATATACAAATTAGAAAATCAATTTCAGACAGGACTCCAGGTGAACAGGTAGGATTCAAACCTGGTTAGCAGGTAACAGCTTGCATTGTTAGTTTGAAGAACACCTTGGTAAGGCATGTATTATGCACTGGCAGAAATTGTGTTGTTACTATTTTTACTTATTACATTTCTATACTGCCCATAGCCGAAGCTTTCTGGGTGGTTCACAACATTAAATCACCCATTGTGTTGGGTATTACATGAATGGAGCCAGCTGGAGCCAGGGTCAGACTCGATGGTCCAGGAGAACCCTTCTGACTCACTATGATTCTATCTAGATTTGTTTCATTGTTCTGGTTTCTTTCCAAAAAGTCTTAAGTTTTAAGAACCAAGCCTTGCAGCACTCAAAGACTAACCAATTTATTCTAGCATAAGCTTTCATGGACATGATCCACTTCATCAGATGCATCGAACATGATGGCAAGTTTTAGGTTTATCTAGAGTTCAATGCAAATCGTTTTACCATAGCCAATAAATGCATTGTCTGTTGCAACTTACAGTGCCATCCTATACAGGCACTTGTCATAAAACCTCACTGGCTTTTAAGATTTTACTCCTAGTTAAAGTGTGTACAAAATTTACAACTTATTATGGCAAACGTCTTCATGTAAGACCATCTACCATGTTTCCCTGAAAATAAGACCGGGCCTTATATTAATTTTTGCTGCAAAAGATGCACTAGGGCTTATTTTCAGGTGAAGTCTTATTTTTTCATGCACAATAATCTACATTTATTCATTTGTTCATGTACAAAAATCTACATTTATTCAAATACAGTCATGTCTTCTGGAACATCGTCACAACTCCAAACCCCAAATTGTGCTGCAACAGACATACTAGAAGTGTCCATCTGGCTGACGATCTTAACTGGGGCTTACTTTGGGGGTAGGACTTATATTACGAGCATCCTGAAAAATCATGCTAGGGCTTATATTCCGGTTAGGTCTTCTTTTCGGGGAAACAGGATAGTCTAAGAAAGCTTATGCATAATACCGCAATCCTATGCATATCTTCTCGGAAGTGAGTTCCACTGACTTCAATGAAACTTACTTCCAGGTAGGTTGGTACCAGGTTCCAGCCGTAGTCAGCGTTACGTTGTTCCTACAACACACTTTGTAAACAAGACCCTGAGCTGGGTATCCTTTTCATTGCAGCCCAGACTGCAGGCACGCACAAATCTCACCCACACGGGCCGTGCCACACAAAAGGTCACACAGAGCTACGCTACAAGCGACGCTCTTCTCGCGCACGCTCTACCGCCTCACGCCTGCCTCCCTCCCGCCTTCGGGCCGAGTCCTCCAGCTTTCCCGGCGTGCCTATGTGCTGTGCCATAGAGGAGCTCGGGCCAGAGCGACGATCTCCCTCGGTAGGTCTGTCGGCGGCTGTCGTGCGAGAACGACGGTGGGTTCTGCGACATGGCGGGTGTGGAGCGAGGAGGCAGCCCCGATGAGGAAAAGCACCTGAACGGAGAGCTGCCCTTGGATCCTGAGGAGAGAGAAGGCGCAGTGGGGCCCGGTGCTGACGAAGGTGCCAAGAAGAAGCGCAAGAAGAAGAAGAAGAGCAAAGGCACCGTCGCTGGTACGAGCTGGGCCGGGCTAGGTATAGAGCGACCGAGTGCAGGTTGGGGGAGGCTGTGGTAGAGTGAGGGGGAAAGCTGGGGTAGGTACTGGAGTAACTTTCCAGGAGTGAGTGCGCAGTCGTCTCAGTACGGGCAAGAGAAGAGGAGAAGCTGGCCATGTTGGCTGTAGATGCGACCGAGAAAAATGGGGTGGGATTAGTAGCCCTTTTACTTGCCTGGTTGGTGATTAACGTGTCTGTCGGGTTATTCAGGGGAGCTGTGGCAGTTGCTGTTGTGGGTGAAGTCTTTACAAAATGTTTCTAGAGTCTCCTTTATTTTGTAAGAGCATGAGGATAGTATTAGATATGGGCCAATCATGTCAGTTTTATCGCGTTTTGGCATAGTTGTGCACGATACCTGGTTAAGAAACCTTAAAAGTGCTACTGTGTGAAAGATCTTGCTTATGAGAGCTCTGCTGGGGACTTTCTCCAGCCCTACTGGAGAAGCTGAGGGCTGGCTGTAAAGTTGTCATAAGCGTATATGGGAGGGGGAGAGCAATAACACTGTTATCCAAGCATAATAGCATGTCTGCATGAAATCCACATGTAATGAGAGACAGGATATTGGGTACCTTGGATTTAGAATTAATACACTTTGTGGAATAAAGGATTTCTCAATGGGAGAAAATGTGGGAGTGTGAGTTAGTGGGTTTGGGAGACATTGTAATAGCCTACTTTTCCTACAGAACTGCAGGCAGAATTAGAGATATAAGTGTTTGAGACATGAGGCAGAAGTATGGTTTTACAACCTTTCGGTTAAAGGAACATTTGGCACCTGTCCTATGGGTGGGGGAGAGATTTGAATCTATGTGCATATTTAAAAGCACATCATACTTTATCTGTATGATAAAAGCGCATCATACTTGTGTAGTGCTAAAACAAGGCTAGTGAAGAGTTGTAGAACTGAGAAAACATGTGTAAGATATTAAAAGCATCTTGTGTCATTTGTCATACTTTGTATGGATGTTAAATAACCCATATATTGTGCAAACAGGACAACAAGAAACTGAAAGAGAATTGGAGACAACACTTGATGAAGTAACAAAACAGTTGGATAAACAAACACTGGAGGAAAAGGAAAAAGATGATGAAGAAGAAGGTAAGCATAATTTACATTTACAGTGTACAATGCATAAGGTGCATTATATAATGTATAATGTATATTGTATGTTAATGTACAAAATGTTTGTAGAAATTTTAATTAAGGACTTACTAGAATAAGAAGTATGCTCATGCTGAAACAGTACTATCTAGTTGATTGAAAAGATTTATCATTGTTTAAGGACTATAATCTACTGGTTTGCTCAATGATTTCAAAAATTGATTTTATTTAAGTAACTGCAACTTGGAACCAGGAAAGTAATATTTATTATATTTCTGTTTAACACTTTATACATCAAATCCATCAGTATATAGTCAAGATGCTTCAAGGTAAGATACAGGAAATAATCCAAAGGATGGCAGGGCAGGGATTTTGAACCTTGGTCTCCCTGGTTAAGGTTCAACATTTTGCACTATAGTGGCTTATATTGGATTTCTTGTTGGGGAATATTATTAAAGAGTCAAATTGCTATTCATAGTAGCTTATAGAAAGCTTATAATTTTGCATCAGTCCTCTGAAGCATTTAAAAGTCATAGACACTAAATTCAGTTCATGAAACATTTAAGAGTTCATATTCTAAGCAAAGAGTTCATATTTTCTGGTTATTAGAAGGAATTAATGAAGATCCAGCTTAATTTCCTCTAAAGTGACTGTTTAGTTTGACTGTTCTGAACATGCCAAAGTATGGACACTGCAAGAGACTATTAACTTCCATCAGATTTATACAAGTGTGAAGGATTGCAACTGATGGCTCAATCCAGAGAGCTATATTGGAAAAGCTAGATGAAGCAGTCATTTTTAATGCTGTTTATGCACTACCTTTAAAAGCCACATGATAGAGAAGATGGGAGTGAAGTTTTAAATGTTAGTTAAAAGGCTCATTGTGTATTGTAAAAGGTCAGAATAGCAGCCTATATAGGACATGGTAATTAAGTTTAATACCCAGCTTCTACTGCTCTACAACTTAATACTGTTTGGGCAAGAGCAACACTTAATGGTTCTGTTCAGGTATCATGCTACCATATGGTCCTATGAGCTCTACTTTCTATGGCCAGTAGTCATACTATAGTTTACTGTGACGAGAATCAGCCACACTGAGCCTCAGACTCATACACTGCCCACTCCTCTTACATGACTTCACTGTTTTCAAAAGATTTTGCTTGACATTTGTTGTTGTCATTATATTTATATCCTGCCATTTTTTCTTTCAAGAAACTCAAGGCATCTTACTTCTCTTCTTCCTCTCAGTCTTACCCTCACAACAGCAACTCCGTGAGGTAGGTTGGGCTGAGAGTCTGTGATCGGCCCAGAGTCACCAGTTAGCTCCATGGCTGAGTGGGACTAGAACCCATATCTCTTAAGTCCCAGCCCAGCACTTTTAGCCACTACACCACACTGGCTCTCTTAACCACTACACCACACTGTTTCTGCACAACAAATGCTAGTTACAGTTAGTGAACATAAACCAGCCTTAAACTGTAGTTCATGAAAATAGCTTTAACCATATTTTAGATTTTGTGCATAGGGCTAAACTGTGGTTAATTGGCAGAAGCTTTGGTCTTCTCACAGCCACACCATAGCAAGAAAAGGTATGGGGCATTTGAACTTGGAGACTTGCTGTGGCTCCTTTGAAGTTGTATTTAAATGCAGCCTATGTGTTTTTTCTTCTCAAAGTTAGATTAGATGTCTAGTATTTCCCCTCTCTTCCCTTTTGATGGCTTATGCTCTAATGAATCACATTTCTCACTACTTAAGCTTCCTATAATTTAGGGAAGACTGCAAATATTGAATGACTGTTAAAGTGATGGTGTCAAATGGAATGTACTAAAAATAATGTCAGAAGTTACTGTTAGAAGTAAGAATTGCTTTGAAGGTCAGACCAGAGGCCATTTAGTCAAACAGTCTCTTTAATGGTGGCTGGATGGAATAGTTAAGTATGTTGTTTTATAATTGTAGTGTGTGCTTTATCTAATTCTAAGAAATAAATGACAGTATTCTAAGTATAATAGCAAATAAAGATTTTTATATTTCTTTAGCAAATTAAGGACAATTTTGAATCTATTGGTACCATAGGCTTTGCAATAGGAAACAGTAATTTTATAGCTGATAGTGAGCATGCTTAAACAAGTTATTAGGCTATAATTTCCATTTAATACAATGGGATTTAGTTCCTAATAATTATGCTTGGGATTTCGATCTTGTACAGAAACCATGTTATAGTCTGCATAGAAAGCTTTCAACAGTCTTCAAGGACATGGCAACCCAAATGGTTTGGCTTGCTAATCAGCAAATTTGCCAGCAGAAAAAAACGTAATGTGACAAGCAGTAGCTGTAGAACTGAATATTGCCAGATATTGCAGTGGTTAGTGTAGGGAACTGGAAAGTTTTCCAACTCTGTGGATGAATTAACTATATGCCAGAATTTTTTTCTGATGTAGTATAAATGAATTAAGAGCAGTTTAAGGACAAGAGAAAGCTGATAGAATTTTAAATCAGCAATGGTGAATGAGCAGTAGTGTGGAACAACATTGACTGTTTTAAAAACGTGTGTGTGTGTGTGTGTGTGTGTTTTAGAATGCATTGAAACATATTAATAGCACTACTTTAAAAATAACCTAGAACTCATTCTGAAACAGTTATATCTGCATTTATTAATACCTTAGCTTTATCTTACCAACAAAGATAGCAATTATTTTAATTGACTCTAAAACTCATCCCTGCATTTAATTTTTCACAAGACAATGATCAAAATGCTACTTTTTATTCAAAATCTCTGATTCATCTAAAACTCAGATTTATTTATTAGATTTCTAACCCACTTTTTTTTTAAAGAAAGAACTCAAAGTGGCTTACATCATTCTCCTCCCCCTCCTCTATATCCTATCTTCACAGCAACAACCCTGTGAGGTTGACTGAGCTGAGAGTCTGACTGGCCCAAAGACACCTAGTTGGCTTCTTGGCTGAGCAGGGGCTACAACCCAGATCACATGATTTTGAGCCCCATGCTCTTAACCACTACACCAAACTGGCTGTCATTATAAACAAGTAGTGTATATATCAATAATTAGAAACTGCTGGTTGGCTGGCTAACTTGAACTCCCTGAATTGCCAGTTGTTGCTCATTCTCTTTCTTTTTACGTCATCTTTCTCTGTTTCGAGGAACTATAGAAACTAAAGAGAACTTTCTAGGCCATGGTTCTAATACGTTCATACATTTTCATCTCTTTTTTCCCAGAAAAGTACCTGCTGGCCAGCTAACTCCAACTTTTCTGGTGGTAGTTGTTATAACTTAATGGTCTTTTAGCAAATAAGTCAGTATATTAATGTTGGTAGTGAAAATAGAATAAAGAGGAGGAAATATGTGGTCTGAAGTAGTAATCAATGATAGGGCAAAGTGCTTTTGACTTGCTTGTGTGCAGCCCTATTTTTATTGATTCTTAGTTTAATGTTGATGCATTAATTATTATAACTTGAATGTGCCATTGTATACATGTTGTTACATGCAGTGCATTGAATAGTATTACGGAGACTCTATATATAAAGTAGGCAGTTTACATCCCTCTTATTACATCATTTGTTTTCTGCAGATGTTGATGGTGAAGGTGATAATGCCGCAGGGAAGAAAAAGAAAAAGAAGAAAAAGAAGAAAGGACGTAGGTGTTGGCTACATGGTTTAGTCATGAAACTTCTATTGGTGCCATTTTTCTGAAGCCTATGTATGACTCTTATCTTATATTGAGTAAGACCACTGATCCATAGTATTGGTCATTGCTTATCAGTTTAATACTCATGGGCAACTTATTTTTCCCAGCTTTGTAACCTGAAATTTTTTTTATTAGATATAGAAGTGATTAATTAAAGCAAGTGATTTATCACTGTGCTTTGACCTCCTTGTATATTTAAGATTATTACTATTTTTAAAAGAGGAACAACTTTTTAACAGCTACTCTTCTATAAATTGCATAGATATCTGCCAAGTAGACAGCCTTTTACTAAAACTAGTTAACAGTTTTAATGGAGCTGTACTGTGAAGGAAAGCAGTTGCATTCTTAGCAGCTGTTGGTCCTCTGGCCAAGAGGGTAGGCTGAAAAGAAACAGATAAGGCCTTTTGGCTAAGACTGACTTAGAGACCTTTTGGCAATTGTGAAAGACACTCTGAAAATTGGCTAGGTTATTTGAGGACATATAGGTATCTTTTCTGTTTTAGATGTGAGTCCAGACAGGATGCAAGATTTAAATGGGTGTATTTGAAACTAATAGAACTAGATTTTGCATTATAAGGAATTCACCACCATCTGTATTTCACTCAACAGCTAAGGTCCAGACAGATCCTCCATCTATTCCAATATGTGATTTGTTTCCTAGTGGCATATATCCAAAAGGTGAAGAGTGTGAGTATCCACCAACACAAGATGGGTAAGTATCCTTCAGTTTTAAAAGGCAGAGGGCAGTGAACAGACAGTGTGTATTGACAGAAAATTAATCTTAAGATCACCTAATTGCCTGTTTTTTCACTCTGCACTTTTTTTTCTGGAGTATCATTTTAACAGAAACTGGGTGTATCATAACATTCTCATCCGTAGAACGTTGTGTGTTTCTGCATTGTTTGTTGGTAGTTGACTTTGTTAAGAATGCTGCTATAATTTATGAGCTAGGGTATTCTGTATGCTCCCACTGTCTTGATACTTAGGAATCTCCTTGCCTACAGTTACACTAAGAATGGCAAGGATGTACATAACACACTTTGAGAGCAACGTAAATCTGAGCTTAGGCCCACTCATTACTAGGCCTGTGTTTGTGTGTATTTTCTTTGCAAAAGATAGTTGTTGCCTTTTGAAATCATATTTTAAACTCCACAAAGTCAAGCCCTGAGGACAATCAGCAGTGTATGAAGCAAGCCCAAAGCCTGCTCATCTTTTTTTACAAGTTTACAAATGTACAAGGAGAGCTGTGTTGTTCTTAATGCATGCAACACGTGAATGCACAAATTCTTCATGTCTTTAGGACATTTGCCACCCTCATGCCTGAAGCCATGCATATGAAGTATACCATGTAGATCAAAGATCTGTGGTAACACTTAAAAGAACATACAGTATTTGTTGACTTGCACTAAAGCATACATTTTGTGACTACAGTTGAGGTGCCAGGTTGAATGGTCCCCAGGCAAACTTTTTTTGCAGATAAAACAAACAGAGTAGCAATTTAATAAATTTAATAAAACATTTCTAGACCATCTTTCACTAAATGTCTCAAGACAGCTTACAGAACATAAAATCAACACAAAATACAGACCATAATACAATAGATGATAATAAATAGATTATGATAAATACAATCAATAATAATAGAATACAATAAAATTAAACTGGCCAATAGTAACCAATAATTTAATTTAATAAAACAACGCAAGGGGAAAATTTGCAGTTCAGCTTGTTCTGTACTGTGCTGGTTTTTCATTTGCAGAGTGGTTGTATAGCAGATATTATAAAATACATTCCGTCCTGCTTGCATTCTGAAGTTCCACAATCCTCTTGACCACCCAATTCAAGTGCATACGTATAGGCTAAAGTTTAGATTAAGAGGAGTTCCTAAATTCTTCCTTCTCAGAAGATAATCTGGCAGAACAGCTGTTTCTTAAATTCCCCTAAATTCCAAAAAGTTTCTAGGTACTGGGTATCTCAGCTTCTAATGCTACAAATTGCACAGTATTAATAATTTTATCTTTGAAATGTTTTCATGCCATTTATAACTTTTTAAAAGTAGGAGATTAAAGAACTGTTCGGGAGATTGTTGCAGAATAAACTGGCAGCAAGCAATGAATGTACAGCCTTTGGAACTTGGCTGCACTATCTGAAGATTAATAATTTGAGCAGTGGCATGCAGTCTGTAAGAATACTTCAGGTGAAATACTTCTAGTGATCATTGAAAGGTGTATTAAAATACTTTTCCTATCTGGTACATGGGGTGCTTATTTGGTGACCAATTCAAGTATGATTTGTCATCTAAATTTGGACTAATGCTGCAGTGACAAGTGCCAAACGTTGTCTGTACTTAAATATTTAAAGTCGAACTGCTGCTTGGAGAACAACAAGTGATGAAAAGAGAGCGCTCGATCAAGCAAGTGAAGAGATCTGGAATGATTTCAGAGAGGCTGCTGAAGCACATAGACAAGTCAGGAAATACGTTATGAGCTGGATCAAGCCTGGAATGACAATGATAGAAATCTGGTAAGAATAGAAGATGGTAAGACTTTTTTTTTTAAATTAAAGAACAACTGTGCAAGAGTTGAAATCTGCATACATTTATTTAAACATGCTGGGCACACTTTTGTTTAGGAGATTGGGTCCTATACCAGTTTGCATAGACATAGGTAATAATTGAAAAAACATGTTTACCAGAACCTCATTTTAAAAATCCCCACAGTATTCTGCATTTTTAAAAACTTTCTGTGGGCTCTGATATTTTGGGGTGTTACTTTCTGTGGGAACTGAAGCTGTCATAAAGTTGCCGCAAAACTGTGTTGTGATGTAGCTGGAGATAGAATACTTAGCTTTTTTGGCTTGGGGCAGCAAGTATTAGTATCAGACTGTAAGAATATTATCAGTAGAATGCATAGCAAAAGGGAAAAAAATACAGTTTGAAATTTCCAAAATGCAGCTCCTAGGTAGCTAAATAAAGAAGTTGGAAAACAAATCCTTTCATGTAACAGAGACATTTGCTTTCCTAGTGAAAAACTAGAAGACTGTTCTCGGAAATTGATCAAAGAGAATGGCTTAAATGCTGGGCTTGCATTTCCTACGGGGTGTTCTCTGAATAACTGTGCTGCCCACTACACCCCCAATGCTGGAGATCCAACTGTATTGCAATATGATGATATCTGCAAGATAGATTTTGGAACACACATTAGTGGTGAGTTTTCTCTTGCTTATTGTGCAGTTAGATAATTTAGTGTAAGGCAAATGTTTTTATCTAATTTGTATCTACTTTCAGGTCGTATCATTGATTGTGCTTTTACTGTCACATTCAATCCAAAATATGACAGACTCTTACACGCTGTAAAAGATGCAACTAATACTGGAATAAAGGTATACTCACAAGGGAACGTGTAAATTTAATTCTTAACTACTTTGTGAGGAAAAAAATCTTCAATTTCAACCTCTCTTGTGTATGCGTACAGTGTGCTGGAATAGATGTTCGTCTTTGTGATGTTGGTGAAGCTATTCAAGAGGTCATGGAATCTTACGAAGTTGAAATTGATGGCAAAACATATCAAGGTATATGTATTTCCATCTGGTGCACATAGTTTTCAAACTGAGGAAGGGTATGTGTGATTGGATCAATTCTATAAAGGAAGCCATAGCCTTGAGTTTACAAGAGTTGAGCAAGATTGTCAAGGACAAGAGATTTTGTAGGGCATTCATTCATAGGGTTGTCATAACTTTGGAGATGACTTGGTGGTACATTACAGAACATGTTTGTGCATTATATATACTTATAAAAGTAAAATATTGGGATAATAATTTCTGTTAAAAAGATCTTGATTTTCGTATTCAGCAGGAAGATTTTTGTCTTCAGGAATTTCTTCTAGACTTCCAGATTCTAAAAGCAGACAAAGTGTTTTGCAAGAACAGAGTAGTTTATTATAGAAAGGTTAGTTCTTCTAAATACGTCAGTGCATTTATTTCATAGTGCTTTGTATTTTATGTAATAGTGAAACCAATTCGCAACCTGAATGGACACTCTATTGGACCATATAGGATACATGCAGGCAAAACTGTTCCCATTGTGAAAGGAGGAGAAGCAACAAGAATGGAAGTAAGCAAATGACTCCTACAGCATGATCTCATATATGAATTCATTGGGCTTCACTCTTACGGAATATATGTATATTATTAGATGGTTAATGCTTATGATTGCTTATGGTTATATGTATATGTATACTATTGTATATTATATTTACATATGCATTATGTATATGTATATAATATATGTATATTGTTAGATTGGTTAATGCTTATGATCAACCCTTTCATGTCTTGGCTTGATATGTCTCCCCACAGCCACTCCTCACTGACAGAAATTTTAAATCTGTATTCTGCACTATAAATCGATTGAAAGCCACAAGTATGTAGCTACAGCTCACAGTGAAATGCTGTAGACATGTTTGTATTACTTGCAGTTAACAAAAGTTTTATTAAAATGAAACTTATATGCATCTCAAGAATAGAAGAGGAATAACATGTATTTTGTTCTTGCAATTCATAAAGGTTTCTTCTCTTACTTAGTTTTGTATTGACAAAGATGATTTTTAGAAGCAAAAGATGGTACAAGTTAATACAAGATAAAACATGGGATATGGAATACGAAAAAAAAATCTTCATTTAGGAAAAAGGGAAGGCAGGTTGGTTGATGGGACTGAGATTCATGCATTCCTGATTATTACTAGAGCTAATGAAAAGTCCTGTCAAACCATCTCACTAATAATGGCTCTCTAGGGTTCATTCAGAACCCACAAACTACTTTTTTTTTGCTGAAAATTCATTGTATTATGTGTTCTTACCCACCAAATAATAAACTAACTGTTTGGATTTCACTGTCCTGCTTCCTGCTGACATTATCATACAGGATACCACTTTAACATTTAGGCATAACCTACTGGTGATTTCAAAGCATATAACTCAGGTTTACATCTCCAAAAATAGAATTTAGAGTTGGATTTTAACATGTTGCCAGTGATTAAGAAAACAATAATTAAAATATGAGCTATCATGTGCTTTGATTTGTGGAGCAAAAAAATAGTGATAGTTCATGGCTTTCAGCAATTTTCGAGCAGTCTTCAAAAATGTTTGAGAATTGTGATTTCAAAGAAAGGAATTTCATTTCCTCTCTTTCGCATACACATTACCTGTTATGCACACTAATGTGCATTTATCTGAGAACTTTGAAAGGGGAAGCAGTATCATGAAATAGATTTGTGTCACCTTTGAAGAACAGAAAATAAATAATCACATTAGCATTTGTGCTTTAGTGTCCACATTGTCAGAGGTGAACAAATACTTCCAAGACTGTTCTATTTGTAATAAACTCTACTGTCCTTATCTACTTTGTGTTTCTGTCCTGTTAGGAGGGAGAAGTATATGCTATAGAAACTTTTGGCAGTACAGGAAAAGGTGTTGTTCATGATGATATGGAATGTTCTCATTATATGAAGAACTTCGATGTTGGACATGTGCCATTACGGTAAGTCCTACTTTTTCTCCCCCAGATAACAAATATGTAACTTTAGGTTTGTCTGCCCTGTAGAAAGGAATAGTTCAGCTACTGCAAAATTTGAAAACAATTACAGTTAAGTAGGTAGTGCTTATATGAAGCATGATTTAAATGCCCTTGTGAAATGGGAATCCATACTACTTAGAGCTGTTTGTCTATTTACTTTGAAAGCTAAGCAAAATGTTGGCATTACTATGGAGATTTCTAATCCAAATATTCTTTAGCTACTGGTACAACATTGGTACTGGTACATCATGGGACGCAGGTGAACCACTGAGCCGCTGGGCTTGTCAATCAAAAGGTCAGCAGTTCTAATCTGCACGACAGGGTGAGCTCCCATTGCTTTGTCCCAGTTCCTGCTAACCTAGCAGTTCGAAAGCATGCAAATACAAGTAGATAAATAGATACCACCTCACTGACAAGGTAACACCATTCTGTGTGTCTCGGTGTTTAGTCATGCTGGCCACACAGCCACAGAAACTGTCTGTGGACAAATGCAGGCTCCCTCAGCTAAGAAATGGAGATGAGCACCGCCCCCTACAGTTGGACAAGATTGAACTTAATGTCATGGGGAAATAGTTACTTTTACCTTACAGCATTAAACTTTAGAAAAGAAATGTTGAAAACATTTATTGAAAACCATTTTATCAATAAGCAAAAACATGTTTAAAATTCAGTTGCTTAGTAAGATTAGGATGCAAAAGAATTGGTAAGGTGTCAGGTTTTTAGTATCTGAAACGCTTTAGTGTTAATTGGAAATAGTGCCAGCACAGTAGAAGAAGTGGAATGGCTTCTCTCTTCCATTACTGGAAACACTGCACAATTATGATGCCCTAGATCAGTGGTGGTGAACCTATGGCACACGTGCAACAGCGGGCACACAGAACCCTCTGTCGGCAAGCGAGCCAAGTTGCCCCAGCAGCAGAGCATAGGACAGCGGCACACATAGGGGCCATGCACATGCTCAGAAAGGAGTAGCAGCGCTAGGTGATGATGTCACAAGCCGCAACACATTAGCCGCGACTCGTCCGAGCTTTTGCATGGCCGCTCAGTGTGCTGCCAAGGATATATTTGCTTGAATTGGCTTTGAGTTATTTTTTCTACACTAAAACCTCAGTTTTCAGGTTTTATTGTGTTTACAATGGGCAGAAATGATGAGCTGTGCACAAAAAACTACTCAAGGAAGGCCTTTTCAAAAACACCCTCTTTTCAGTGGTATTTTAGCCCTGTATTTGGGTTAAGATTCTGCAGCAGAGTTAGGGTTAGAAAAATGAGGTGTCCTGGCATGATTTTGATGGTGGGAATGTGTTCAAAATGGGCAGAAACAATGGGCTGTGCAGAAAAAGCTACTCAAGGAAGGCTTTTTCAAAATCGCCCTATTTTCAATGGAACTATTAGCGTTAGGGGTGTGCACCAGGGTAGTGGTAGGGCAGTGGTGGTGGACCTATGGCACGCTTGCCTCAGCCAGCCTGCAGAGCCCTCTCTGTCAGCACATGAGCCAAGTCATGCCAACATCGCCCCAGCAGCTGGGCATCAGGTAACAGCGCACATAGGGGCCATGCACATGCTCGGAAAGGAGTAGCGGTGCCAGACGATGTCACGAGCCGTGACTCATTCGCTGCAACTCATCTGAGCTTTCGCTTGGCTGGTCTGTCCGCTGCCAAGGAATGAGAGAGAGGGAGAGGGGGAGAGAGGGGGAGAGAGGGGGAGAGAGGGGGAGAGAGAATATGAATTGGACTGGCTGTGAGGTGTTTTTTCTAAACTAAAACCTCAGTTTTCTGGTTTTATTGTAGTGTTGGCACTTTGCGATAAATAAGTGGGTTTTGGGTTGCAGTTAGGGCACTCAGTCTCTAAAAGGTCTGCCATCACTGCCCTAGATTTTCTCAAGTGATGACTTAGTGCTACAAATCTAAGCACATTATGAAGGCGTAAGCTCCACTGAATACAGTGGGGTTTGCTTATGAGTAAATAAGCATAGGTTTTTCAGTAAGCCTGCTAGTTGTATTCATTTCCGAAGCAAAAACATTTTAAGCATCAGGCTGTCATCTTACTCATTCAATGCACTCTTTTCTTATAGACTTCCAAGAGCTAAACATTTGCTGAATGTTATCAATGAAAACTTTGGCACCCTTGCCTTCTGTCGCAGATGGCTAGATCGTCTGGGTGAAAGTAAATACCTAATGGCTCTGAAGAACCTGTGTGACTTGGGTATAGTGGATCCATACCCTCCCCTGTGTGATATCAAAGGCTCCTACACAGCACAGTTTGAGCATACCATATTATTGCGTCCAACATGCAAAGAAATTGTCAGTAGAGGAGATGACTATTAAACTTCAAGGCCATTACCTCACCTATGTACTCTGTTGGAACACATATTGCCAGAAAAAAATGCAGTCTGTTTTAACAGTGGATCCAATGTGATAACTTTCCATGTTTGGAAGAGAGGAATTTAATCAAAGGCAAGTTCTCTAATGTAACTAACCAAGGAAAAACAGCTTTGGGGGGGTCTCTAGAGTATTTCAGGTTACTTCTATATTTTTCTTTCATGGGAGATATGCTATAAAATACCATTTTTAGTTTGGAATGAGTTATACATATTGTTTGGAATATTTCTCAGAGAAGGCTTTTCAGATATTTATATTACCATATTCTTACTTGAATGCTTTGAATGACTACACCTGATTTCTGCGCCTAAGTTGTCTCTGGTATTGCCTTTTAAACTTCCTGGAATCCATTTTGTAAAAAAAAAAAGAAAAAAAGGAATACAAAATAAAGACAGATTTTCAGATCTAAAACCAAATATGGTTTTTAAAAGTGTTGCCATCCTAGCCAGCAGTACATTGAAAAAACTGACCTATTAAACCTTGTTTTAGGAATACGCTTGCTGTATCTGCTTAACACTTGAAAACAAGACAAGGCATGGACTTCCTAAATGGCATGAAGCTTGCCTTGCTTTCAGTCATAAAGCCATGAACTTTCTGAAATATATCAGCTCTTGTCTATGGCTTACTGCAGCCTAGATTGCATGGGCTGGTTGAAGGAGTCTATGGAGGTCTTCCATCCTCTTCTACAATTCATTTATTACTAGCCAGTGTTGGCAGCCTTCCATTATTTGAGCCTTTGGTTGTGACAGACTACCTATAAATATTCCAAGTTGAATTAGAAATCTCTGCTTAAAAAATCCTGATATATATTAGGTGCTCTTCTGCACCTATGTAATGGCACTAGGGCAGAGGCTTATCAAAGTGAAAGCTGAGCCCTTCACCCCTGTTCAAAACTGTTGCCTGTCCTTGTGTTCTTGACACAAAAAGCTTTTCATAGGTGGTGTGTTTTCCTCTTTTAAAACAAATGCAGTCAATGGATTAGTGAAATCAATTAAGCCTTGCTGTAGGATATTGGTTTATATGATTAATGACTATAAAGTGGGCTATTCTGGGTAACACAAGGGATGGTAATTTCAACATTCTTGTTAAAAATTGTTAGGATGTGTTGACCTAAGATATACAAGCTTAATAGGACTTGCTCATTAAGCTGTTGCAACTTTCTTCAACTCAAGCACTGTCGAGAAGTTTTGGATTACAGTTTTTATCAGCCCAGTTTGCCTGGCCAGTAGCTGAGATACCGCATGTAAACATTTGATTAATTCAGAGCAATCCTGTGGCCCATCCTGTTTGGGTGGGCCAGTGGATAATTTGAATTCCCAAATTAGAGATCAGAAATGGCTCTTACCTTGCAGCTCGGAAACTGCCTTCAGTTTCTGTCCCTCTCTGACATCTGGTCCAAAAAGACCCATACTGGTTGCCCCTATAAGGTCAGTTAATGGACTTTGAAGAAGTGGTCAGGAAGGCATTGTGAGAGATGGGGAGGGGAGGAAACGGGGGCCTGAAGGACATAAGGCATCCTGATGGCATTCCTGCCATGGTCCCCACCCAGCAAAGTACTTCATCTAGACTACATTGGGAGGAAATTTCCTGTTCCACCATTCCTGCTTTGATTTCCAAGCGCAGTGCCTTACAACATCTAGGGTGTAAACAAAAGGATTGCATCCTCAGACTTACTTGTTTAGGACAAGAGTGGGAAGAAGGAAGGCTCAGACTCAAGAGACAGTTCTGTTCTTCATGGTTCCCAGAAGGCAATTGCCCTTTCCTGCAACTGTTATTTGATTTCTTGACTCTTGTACAGCGTTTCCCCTCAATTCTAGAAGTTTGAAAACGCTTCTTCTAAAGTTTACTGGCAGTAAGAATTTTAAGCTACACTGTGTTTTTGTTATACCTTTATCTCTGGCCTTGCCAAGTTTTAAAAAACGCCCCTTCCACTGAGCTCCTAAAGTGAATTGGAGTCTGCAAAAAGTTCACGACTCCTATCCAGATGGTGATGCTGACTGCATTGCATTTGCCTGGGTACAACAGCTAGACACCCAACACTTGTCTTATCCATGAAATTCACATATTTTCATTACTTTCTAGCACTGCTCCTACTTAATTTTGCTAGCTGCAGATATTTATGGCACTGGGTAAGTACTACTTAATAGAAGTGGTTCTATCTTTTAGTTAATTCTGCACGATTGCTTTCTAACATGAATTTCTGCAGAAAATAAATGTAAGGTTGCAAGTGGGCAGACTCAGTAGCCAGCATGCTGTCTAGCTTCTGTTGGGCCACAGGAATCTTGTTTGCCTTATGGGAAGCTGAAATAATAAAACAAAATGCACACAAAAAACAAAAGAAAAATGGCCAATTGTCAGTCATGTAAAGAATATTCTGAATGATGCTCCTTTGGCCAGTGTCAGAAAGGAACTGAGCTTTCCTCAGCAGAGGTGAGTGTGCTTCCTGCCAGAATGTTTCCTTACCTTGCGCTGTGAGGTTCTAAGTACTGTTCTCCAGAAGCACAGAACCCATGTAGGTGGAAAAATGTATGATGGCAAACATGCTTTACCAATGCTTCTTTTAATGTATATTCTGGGAAGCTGAAGATGCCCTCAGATGCAGAAAAAGTTTGAGAAATTTTTAGGTACACATTTAGCTTGTGTAGATTTTCTTGGATAGAATAAAGCTTTCCTATTATTTCAGGTACAATGGTATTTTTGTGATAGATTTCCAAGTTTTCTTATAGTAGAGATTTTACATGAATTAGTTTTGCTGGTAGGTTGCTAACTTAAAATTCAATCTAAACTTGGAAGACTTATACTTCAATTCTATACAGGTTTCTTTTAAACCAAGTCCTTTCTTTTGGTGAAGCTTGCTCCCATGTAAGTGTAAATAGGATGCTATGCTGAATAAGGTAGGTGAAACTTTCTCCTAACAGGCACATGCAGAGAAGGAAAAGCTTTGCTTACTGAATTTCTGCTTATGTAGTTGTTAAGGTACAGACACTGCCAGGTAGAGGTTAGAGACCAAATGAGCTTAAGTTCTTAAAATACATAAACTTATCCACAGTAGGCAACTCCCAAGTGCAACTAAAGGTTATTCCATCTTGATCAATCTTAAAGAATTTTTCAAAGGTAATTCTTATCTCTTACTTTTGAGAATAATTCCTGTTTCTGATTTTGTTCTTACTCCCTGTTTTAACTTTCATTTTTGTTCCGTTGTTTCTCTTTCTTAACAGAAATACATAAACATTTTATGGATCACTCATCTGTGGGCAAAAGATTTAGAACAAGATACTGTTGATACTTTAAATATTCAGAACAGGGTTTCTCCCTTCCAGGGTAGGCTGAGCCAAGAATAGCAAAAATTGAACCCTCTCAGTATGCTTTAATTTAAAACTCTTACTGCCAGTAACTAAGTGTTTGGGGAGAGGAATTAGAATGGAGGGGGTGGGAGCACATAAGAAACAATGACAGCAAGAGAACTGAAAAGGCTGAGTGCAGGTTGTCCTTGAAATGTGGGTTATTGTGTTATCTGAATCCAGCAAAGATAGTAAGCTGGAACAACCCAACAACAAATCATGGGTTCGTCTTCATTGGTTATGTTTGGTTAACAAGACCTGACTTTTAAGTGTAGCTGAATTAAAAACACAGTAATTCATACTTCAGCAACAGAGTTCAAGGACATCCCAGGTCCAGTCCTTGTATTTTCTGACCGCAGTCAGTCAGTAGCTAGAATAAAGGAATATGGCCATGAGACCCCTGGAGGGCCAAATCTGGCCACTGGGCCTGAGGTTCTGCTTCCTTCTTGTAGGTTATAGCTGAATAGTCTCAGTCATCTCTTGTACTGATAGCTGCTTTCTGCCTGTCCTCAAAGGATGATGTTAGCAGGGGGAAAGTGTATACTTTCTCCTAGGCTGAGAAAGACTGATAGGAAACAATCTTTGCAATTAAGTTAGCAAACTAGTGCTGAATAACACTAAATATTTGCAGGAAGAGAAAAGTTTTGTTTTCAGGGAAATGCAGTCTCAGTATATTTGAGTGGACAAAGAAGATCACTATAGCAAAAAGGGGGGGACATCTGTGGGCAAGTTTTGGTTTAATACAACAGGGTTTTCTTCAAAGAATTGTACAATTTCCTATGTCGCACTGTGTCACGAATTCAGCTCAAGAATCCAGCTTATATTTACAAGGTTCCCTGAGAAGGAATGATGATTAAATTACTACGTATTGTATAATCATGCTTGAAGTCTTCTGGCACCCCAGAAAAACTTAGATTAAAAGAAAATGGATGAATGGGGTTGAGTGTTTATTTTTCGTATGTGCCTTATTATAAGCACCTCTGAATAGGCTGCTTCACAATATCCTGTAAAACAGCTTCTCCAGTCCCATTTGACATCCCAGGTGTTATGAGGGATTGCTTGAATTTCACAATTTAAAATGAAGCATTTTAAAGTGTACAGTGAAATGAAGTGTACAGTGGTCAGTTTTCTTCAGCTTTGGAAGGTTGGAAGAGCAGATAAGAACTGCTTAATGCACTTTATTGATATGCTCAATTCTACAGCTATGCTGACAACATTAAACCAAAACTAAGAGCTCAGTTTCTCCTTTTCTGATTGTGATTGACAGAATGTTTAAGCTGGTGTTTAGGACTGCAGTGGCAAGTACACTGGCCCATTTTTAGCCCTATCTGACCAGGAGCCACAAGAAAGCACAGAGCTTCCAGCATCTCTATTTTATTCTTTTGTCAAAGATACTGTTTTGTGGGAGTTTGAACTGGGCCTCTTCATATTGAAAGTAGCACATAGTGGTCACTGCTCATTCTTGCTTGCCAAAGCTGGTCTATATAACCACCCTCATATGATAAATAAAACAGTGCATGTAAGGTAAACTAATAACCAGATAGCTAAAGCACTTTTTCATTTACAAAACAGGGGATACAATGATAAAGGTCTATCTCAATATATAAAATCAAGCATTTTATATAGAGAGAAATTTTCAGTAGCATGCTTAGCAGTAGTCAAGCATATTTTCCCCAGCCCAGTACATGCTGTTCTGAAGTTGTATAGATCTCCCTTGAAATGCGATACGAGCTAAGACAAAAACCACCTCACTTAGACCCAGATTTAAGAGAAACTAGGTTGGCAGAAATGTCCTTTTCCATGGCAGCCACTGCCCTGCCCTGAAAATTCCACCTACAAAATGGGGGAACTGTGGTGTAGGGAAGTAAAAAAAATACTAGAGTGTACTTCTACATGTAGAGCCCTTCCTCTTGTGGAAACCCAATTCTGGAATCAACTCACTATATTCTGGGGGAGGCAAAAGGAGATAGAAATGTAGCTTTGGTTTTAGGCAGGCCAATTTGAATAAGTACAAATATTAGTGCGCGTAGCTACTAGAAACAGGATAGGCAACCTGTGCTATCCAGATGTTTTGAACTACAACTTTCTAATCAGTTACTATTCACTGTGTTGCCTAGGTCCAAATCATCTGCATAGTATCAGGCCACCTGGTCCTTCAAATAGACTTATCAGCTCTATTTAGACTAGCATTTGTAATGTTTAAACTGCCTTGTGCCCAGATGCCATCTCGTACAACAGCCTGACTGGATCAATGGAACAGCATAAGCCCTTGGGATCATGAAAATGACATTGATCTTCTGCTACTTTTGTTCATTTTGTTACTGATCATATGGTCAAGTAATTATATTTTACTAAGTAGTTACGAATTATATTTTACTCTCAAGAGGATTCTTCAGCTGAAGGGAAGGTGAATTTCAAGTAGAGATGGACAAATATGTATACATCTGTGAGCATTTTTTTAATTCTGTGGGAACAAGAGAGACTCCTGCAGACAAAGTCAATAGTACTGCCAGAAATGTGGTATAAAATGCACATTTTAATAAAAAAATAGAATTACACAAGTTGCCCACCAAAATTCCTCACCTATATTTCTACACTAGAATATAAAAATGCTGAAAAACAGCTTGAGGTAAGATTTTAAAATTCAAATGGCAATTTTCTTTTTTTTAAAAAACTATACAATCTTCTAGTAAAGTAGGAAGTTCTGTACCATCAGTAATGTATTTATACTAAACCTTTTCCAAAATGTATTTTAACAAGTACAAAAAGGTTTGAACACATACAATTTCACAAGACAAATTTAGTACAATACTGCACTTGTATCAATACATGTACAAGTGCCAATTCATACTTGAACTGCGCTCAGTAAACTGGCTTTGGCTTCACTGGTACTGTCTACACTGGAACAATTAACTTCAGTATTTGGCTGTTTTCCAGACGGTGAGTCAAGACCTGATACTCTACAATGCCCTTTTGCCTGAGTAATTCGTTGGGTATAAAACAAAATGTAGGCCTGTGCCTTGCATACTTCTTCCATAGTGCACATGTTGAGCTTGGAATCATTGCAGTGTACCCATACTCCTAGAATAGAAAAGCAGAGTCTTGTAAATTCATCACAACACTTACCTGTTAATATCAAAGATCACAATATTTTATTAAAATTTAGTGACATTGCAGAATGAACACAGCTTATCTTTAAAAAAATGAAGGATTTTATATGCAGAACAATTGGTATTATTGAATTACATGTATGACTGAGCTTTCAGGATGGCATTTCCTACAGTTTAAAAGATTCCTCCAATTAAGACTGTCTTGGGATTTTGGAAAGGCTGTTTATGACAAATTCATCTCTAAAAGTTTTAATTTCTAATATATGCAAAGCTTAAAATTGAATTTTACATTTCTTGTTTGTACCTCCATCTGAATTGTAGCAATAGGCAGTGTAGTGTCCCGAACCGAATCCTTTTCCATGATGCATCACAACAGCAGACAAGTCATAGATAAAGCAATCGGGTACAAGAGACTTTAGAGATTCTCTGCAGCAATAGGGTTCCATGTTTAGCATCTGGTCAAAACTGACATGCACACCAATCTTCTCACGGTGATTACGCCCTGACCATCTTAGGGAAGAAAAAAGAAAATGCAATTCTTAAATGATTTTTCTAGTTCCTTTTCTAGTTTGAAAGTATCTTTACTGTAATGAAGGTTTAAAACTTCAATTTCCTTTCTATATTTTGAAGTGCTCCCAGTGGCAGCAGTTGCTGAATATTTGGAATATGCTATGTAAGTCATCTAAAGCTAGACCACTGCTTAGTACAGGAAATCCAGATGTATAGAACAAATGACTGACTAGGCTCTGCACAAAGACCCACACCACCGCTATGATGTCTGGGCTGGTTGTCAAACTGTTCTTACCACCGAGAGGTTTCTCCTTAGGTTCAATCAAAATCTGCTCTCCTGTAGCTTAGATTTAGTACAAGTATTTGTCCCCTCTTATGTGTGACGGCACACTTCAAATACCCGAAGGATTGTCTTGTTATTCTTCCCCTTCTACAAGTAGTTTTCCTTTCTGTCCCGCCCATCAAGTTAATTTTTTATGTTCTGCAATGGAAAGTTACCCAGAGTTCAGGGTTCTGCTCTGCTTCAACTGCCCCCTCCATGATAAATTTGGGCAGTTCATTCAAAGCAATGCTTCTTCACTCAACAACTCCTTTACTGCCAAACATTGACAGCTATTATTGCTTTGATGTGGGTTTTGTCCCCCACTTCACTTTCATTGTTTAAGTCTAGTTAGTTATCACAGCATCTGTATACGGTCCAGTCAGTTATGCTCCCCTTCATCACTCTGCACCCATAAAAATCATGTAGCCTACTGGATCATCATGCCCTAAGTCATTGTCCTTTATGGCATCTTCAGTACAGCCTTTCCTAACCTGGTACCCTCCAGATATGTTAGCCATACTGCCTGTCTAAGAATTAGGGAACCTGTAGTCCAGCCCTACTGGAGGCTGCCTGGTTGGGGAAGGCTGCTTTGGTACCTACCACTTTCCTCAGTTCTCATATCCTCATATTCCTGAATATTGCTCCCTTGTCCGCTCTGCCTGTCTTGCCTATGGATTCTATACTTCTTGCAACATCTTTTCACTCAACATTTTATTCTTTTTCACAGTGTTCTTTGTGTCACTAATGCAGGATGGAGAACTTGTGGACTTCCACATGTTGCACCAGCTCCAATTGTCCTTAGCTGTTTGTCCTGTTGGCTGCAGCTGATGGAAGCTGGAGTCCAACATCAAGAGGGCTAAAGGTTCTTCTAGATCAATTAATCTGAAATTCTTACATGAGCTCTTAATTCTAGTAAAAATGACAGCTTAGTGTCCCTTCCTAGAAGTTAAACTGCTAACATTAAGATACTAGTAGCATTGTTCCTTGAGCAGTTAAAAGTATTCAAAACATTTCACAACATCCATACCAGTTGCATCACTACAAAAAGCATAATTACCAATTCCATTCCCTAATTACATTATTATATAACTAATAGACACACCATAGAGTACACAGTTTTGCTGGAATCTCAATAAACATTTTTCATGCCGAACTATAGATCTCACACACAGAGATGTAAAATTTTTTGAAACAAAGTTGCCAGCCCACATTAATATCCTACAAAACAGGTAGTTTACTATTTTACCTGAACCGTTTAAGGTGTAATCTCAAAACTTGAGGTAGTCGGCATACCATAAGCTGCTTCTGTGCTTCTGTGAGTATAATAGGCTTAGAAGAAAACTTTCTTCGTTTTGCTGTAAAAAGATCCCCCACAGAAATTCATAATAGATCAAGTACTCAAATTGTTAAGTAAGTAAACATAATTTATTATATGCCTATAGTTTATACAAATCATTGTGTGTAGAGTCATTTTAGCAGGTAATCATTGTGGAATTATCCTGCAAAGATTACTTTGACTAATAGAACATTTATAATAAATCTAGACTATAAAGCAGGGTGGGCAAACTATTTTGGTTTTGGCTCCCAACTGTATGCTGAGATCAAGCTAACAGGCCAGGAATCAAGGGCTGATGCCTCAAAGCCCCCTTCCTATGATACTATCTGGCTGTTACACCCTCTGTCTCCCCCTCTCTGGATCCCTTTCTATACAGATGAAGGGACTCAGTGCTTGCAGAACTAGTTCCTAACTAGCTGACTCCTGTGAAGTCAGTCAACTCCTTCCCACACCCCTTACCTCCTATTAGGGTATGAGAAACAGAGAAAGGGTCTCAAACTGAGGCCTGTAGAAACTGCTCCTGCACGCCTCAGCTGAGTCTGTAGAATATCCAGGTAATCTTCAATTACAAAGGAAGGCATTTCGCTCTCTAGCTGCTTCTTCATACTTTCAGACCAGAAGACAAGGCTTGGGAGAAGTGGCTTGTGGACGGTACGCAAGATTCCATAGGCCAGACTGAACACATCCACTCCACTCTCCTGTATGATTTTACACACTGGTGAATATGCAAAATGTACAGCCCTAGTGAGGAATGGTTAATGCACTAATATAATAGATACTTCATTTATTGAGCTCTCCTTTACCTGAAACATGGAATAATGTGAGCTCAGGTACTGTTCATAGCCTATTGTATTATAAATGTACTGGACATCAGGTATATTTTTAATGTGAGCTACTTTACATACTACATGCTAGTCAGATGTGAAAGTACATACATACTGCCTTTACTCACTGTTGCACTGATCGCAAGCATATATCTTTCCTTCCAAGGCTTCTGTTTCTGTAAATTTGGCCAACATTTCTGTCAACAAGCATGGATGCTGACAGGTTGTTTCCTTCCCATTGCAGTGATATCTCTCAGGAAATTCCAGTGACAAGTCCCAGAAGGGTTCTATAGTATTTGATTTATTATCACATGCAAGGCATGTTACCTGCAAAGACAAATTATCAAATTAGTGTCTCCAGTACTCCAACTCTGTTCCCTCCCGATAAGTTAAGAAAAGTAGCAACCTGATCTGTATCATAGATACTAGGAAAACTAGTTACTTCCTCTTTCATAGTGAAGTATCTTCAACTTTATCTTGAAAATAAGAACCAGTAGACCAATTTCAACCCTAAATCAAAACTATAAAGTATTGAGTAATACAAGCCACTGTAATTTATACAGGGTTACAGATCAGTGAGTTCTTTGTTATCTTTCATTTCCACCATTATCATTAGTATGAAGAAACAAACATGTCCTAAGGGCTGGTTACAACTGCTTTCCCTTACATGTTTCCCCACAGTTACTGAAAAGAGCTTTTAAATAGGATTTAATTCTAAAAAAACCTATTCCAATAATAGAAAAAAGAGACCTTTTTCTCAGCCTTACCAACCTCACAGTTATCATGCTGTTCTTATTTTCTACTTGATAGGTGTTAAATTTAACTCTATTTAAAAATAAATGCTTGCTAACCCATCATCATGTCATTAATACAGTGACAAACTTTTTCCTTAAAATGTAAAAAAATATAAGAGATCAACATTTTCTAGACCAAGGCAAATACTTTCATATAATGAAATAACGTATGTTGAGAGTAGAAATAAAGCTTTCATTTTATATAAATGCAATGAACATGTCTTTGCTAGGAACATATCTAAAGTTGTTTTAAAGTACTATGCACAAGGCAAATCTGAAAAGTTACTAAAATATGCAAGAATACCCCCCATCTACTTTGTGAATGGCCCTCTTTCCTGCTGACTGGCATGGGAGCACCAAGTTCACTATTAGATACAGCTATTATTTATTAAAAGATTTGTTAACTGCTTTGGCAAAATTTCTCTCCAGGGGTTTTGGCCTTCAATTTCCAGCATTTTTACCATTTGCTATGTAAGCAGGGGCTTCTGAGAGTCAAACTTCAAAATATTTGATATACTTAAACCTCAAATTTTGACTACAGTAAAGAGTAGATGCACTTCAGAGTAACTATAGTATAAAACTGTTTATAAAACAACAAGCAGAATCAATCATGACACCCCCCACCCTGCTTTTAACAAAATACTCCCAACACTAAAAGCAGAAAGATGGCAACAAATAAAATAAAGGCACTGAATACTCACTCTTACTTAGCTAATACAATATCTGCCTAAAATGCCATGCAGAAAAATGCTTTAAGCAGGGTGTCCACCCAGCCTTTTGAGACACAGAAACCCACCACTTGGCTACAGGCACAGAGTTGACTGTAGCTCTTTCCCCTTCAATTGCAGTTCCATCATAGTGGGGACACAGAGAAGAGCTGTTTCATGTTAGGAGGAAGGTATGAGAAAAGGCTATCCCTAAAAAAGTAGTCAGCCAAAGCTAGTTCTGAAGGTTTTTGACTTCAACTCCCAGAAGCCTTTAGCAGTATGGTCAACAGTCAGAGATGCTGAGACCTGAAGTTCAAAATTAAGATATTCTATTTTTTGCCGACTATTGCCCTAAGTTATTCAGTGCTGGGTTCTTCTGAAAATAAAAATATACAGCAGCATCATGCATCACCTAAATGCAAGCTATATTGCCAGTTCAGGAAAACACTTTTTGCTAGATCAACTGGCAAAGAGCTGCTTCAGTGTAAATAATGCAATTAATTTGAGGAAATCACTGATGGTTGCCACTATGCGAGGATCTGATTCCACAAGGTAAATCACTCCATGGATTCCTTAATTCTTCACACTCCTTAACTTTCTACATTTCTTGCAATTTTGTGGTGCAACATAAAATACATGGACAGGAACTATTGTGCCCTGAAGAAATACTCTGGAGTAAATGAATTGTGGATAAAAGTGCAAGCAGTGTTATGAGTAATTCTTATTTCCTTAAGATTAAAGCAACCAACTGACAAGAAAAGAAGAGTACTTTTCCTATTTAGCACAATATCAAATACAGGTGCATTATAATGAAGAGATTTCACTCAGTAAGAAATAGAAACACCACAACATCTGTAGCAACCTAAGTCTGCTGGAATGCATTATGCAAACATCCCAATTCAGTAATAGAAATTTAGATCCCCTTTGACCTGAAAACCCTTCCTGTTCCAGTTCACAGTTACTATATTATATTACTACTACTACTACTACTACTACTACTACTACTACTACTAAATTGTATTTACATCCTGCCTTTTTTCCTCTTGTGAAGAACCCAGAGTGCCTTTCATACCTCAATTTTCTCCTCAGAACATTCCTGTGAGTTAGGTTGAGTTGAAAGTCTATGACTGGCCCAGATTCACCCAGTTAGCTTCATGGCTACCCTAATATTTGTGTCTCAGGTCACAACAAACTACACCAAGTTGTGTGGTATAAGGTACTAAAAGATTTGTAGCTTATACTAGGAGTCTTATACTTGCCTTTTCCATGTAGTACATTACAATTGTCTTAATATGCTTTTTAGTTTTATCAATATGTAGAATAAAAAATGAAGTAGATTGTAAAAAAATACTAATTTCTCTAGCATGATTTATATCTTGCTGTCACACATGGAAGCAAAAGGCCAAACATCAGAAGATATTAATTTATAACAGTGCATGTAAGCTTATGGCTTATCATCCTGATATGTCCATGTCATAATCAGTATGTTCTCTTGAAGAGGAATGGAGATACACCCTTGCTTACTATAATCCAGCCTCTAGCCTCTAATGATTTCTTGCCCACATGAAATAAACCTATAGTTACAATTGCCATAAAAGCAGTATTTTTTACCGTTACTATCCACAGTTCTGGCTTGTTTAATCGTTTTAAGCTGTACTGATTTGACAGCTATTCTACAGAAGTAATGACATCAATATATTTATTAAACAATTTTATTAATATGTTTAAATTTCCATTTCACTGAAAGCAACACATTTTAATTCACCCAGCCTTTTTTAAAAAATTCAAAAGCTATAAGTGTTGCTGTATCATTTTCTCTGCTTTAGTATGTCTTATGTTTGTTATGAAATTCTATTTTTATATGTCATTAAAACATTTTCAGAGCAGCTAATAAATATTTATTAAAACTCTAAAATGGACCTTCATCTATTGAGAATCCCTATTGAGAATAACAATTACAATAAAAATGTAGATACTGGTACAATAAAACCAAGTAGCACAAAATTATTCAACTAGTGAAAGACATGTAAAATGATTGGGCAAAAAAAACCCATTTTAACCTAATATCAAAGAGAAAAGTTTAGCCAATCATACCTCCCTTATGAAGGCATTCTAGAGTTGGGGCACTACCCTCAAAGAAGCCCCTTTCTTTGTAAAGCTCTTCTCCCAATAGTGGAATTCTAAGAAGGGACTCCTCTGGTAACATTATGGCATAGGCTGGATGGTGAGGTAGATCTCAGGTAGCAGGACTGGAAAAGATCACTGTTAAAGATCTTTATATGGCACTTCCATCCAGCATAAAACACCTGATCTAGACAGACCAAGATTCTGAGTCAAATGCTTATATTCAACTTACAAGATACCTACACAACATTGAATTTCTTTTAAAATTATTTCTTAAATACTACTATCAACTCATTAATTTATAGTATTTTCACTTCAATCTTTAAATAATTACATAGATTTCTGGTCACACATAACATACCTGACTTAAAAGCTGTCCATGAAAAATAGTATTGACCACATTCAAAACCTGCTTAATGAGTTTCCTTTGAGAAGTGGGAATAAGGGCTGGACATTTTGTCCTAGCTGTCTCCAGTTCCTGCTGCACTTTATCCAAAAGTTCACAGAGAAATTCCTGAGCATCTTGTTGGGCATAACCACGAAAGGCTGGGATTAATCTCCAGACAGAATGGAGCATTGCAAAAGGGGACACTAAAGCCCACTTGCCAGACCACATGACTTGGAACAAAGTATGTAGTTCATGACAAAGAGAAATGTACTTTGAGCTTGGCTCCTTAGGCTGAATAAGTTCCATATTTCTACTGTGTGATGCTCCACCACTTAGGCCTGATGACACGCTGGATCGCCTTACAGAAGATGTCTTCTCCTTCATGTGGCTTTCATTCACATGAAAAACAGGGCCAGTTAATGTATGATGTTTAGAAGAAGATCTTGTTTTTCCATTGGCTGCAGCTGCTAACAACTCTTGAGTTTGGTTCAAATCAAGCTTCAAAAAACATTCTCTAAATATGAGCAAGTGACTCAATACCTGAAGAATAGAATTCATATAACATGTATTTCCCAAGTTTCGTAATCCTGTTACACCAGGAGTCACAGTAGGTCTTCGTTTAACCGGAGAGTCATTATTTTTTTTTAATTTTACTTCATTTGAGGTAGCCGCTACTTTTAGATCAACAGCAGTATCCAAATGTTGTGGCATTTTTAGTGCATATAGTGGAATCTTTGAGGATTCTTTTTGATTTTGCAAGCGAAAGCTCTTCCTTGGGGGCATTTTTTCCATTTCTTCCTTCAACTGGCGCTTCCGCTCTTCTCGTTTCTTCTTAGCATTGATCCTTCTTTCTTCTGCCTGTTCCCTTAGTTTCTCTTCTTCTAAAATCCTCTTTCCACTTGGTGTTAGTTCAAACCAAGATCTAAACACTTTGCCCATTAATGCATGCCTCCTGTGCCACAGAGCTGTGAACATACGATCTTGATTACGAAGCAAGGCTTGTGCATTATTATGTGAAAGATCATCACTTGTGCCCATTGATCGCAAAGTCCTGCCACTACGAGTAGTACAGCCATAATTTTGACTCCTGATTGCACTTAGTGTACTTCGCAAGAGTTTTATGTCACCAGTTGCATTATCATTAAGAACATAGTCATCACAAAGGTAGCAGAAAACATACAACTCATTCACTTCCAATGCAACTGGATGACTGCTTTCCTGAAAGTGCTTTAGTGCATGTTCCTCGATGTATCTTCCACAAGCAACATGTGAGCAACCTAGGCAGGCCCATACCGATTCTGTAGTATTGCAAACCATGCAATGCCATTTGTGAGGATTCACAATGGAATGGTCCTGGGCAAGCCGCAGCCGTCCTATATGTTTACACTTATCCATTGTCAATACTACAATGCTGACAAAATACTACAGAAATGCATCATCCAAACAATTCTCGAGTCTTTTCATTTTGACCTGAAAGCAGAAAAAAAGATTAGTTTCATTTGCTATGTTAGACTCTGTGGAATACATTATACGTTTGCTCACTAATAATGCTTATTTTAAATATTATCATTTTTATTTATTCATTCTATATCTATACTTCCCAATAAGCAAATCTCTTTCTTCAATTGTAGTTAATCAATCCAGCTATTCAGATCCAATCTTTGTTCTCCAAAGTTTCAGATGGTAGCTTCAAGGAACACAAATTAGCCAAGATTAAAGTACCCAATGTTAAGATTCAGACATACCAGTAATACAGGTTTAGATTATAGCAGTACCATCTTTCATATTAGTACTTGATAAACAAATTCCACTTCAGAATTTCCCAAAAAAGGACTCTCAAGGACAAGGTTCTTCAAGTACTTACGGTTATTTACACAATCATTATAAGATGCGTGCCTTAGAGATGCCTGTTTTTTTAGCCAAAAGTGCATTTTTAGTGCCAACAAAGCACAGAATCACATGTAAAGATCTAACACTAACAGAAGAGGGCTTGTTGCTTTAGTAATGGAATATAACCCCTTCTCCTGTGTTGGGTTGCCAGCCATCACCTGCAGAGCTGTTACAACACTTAAAGTAAGACCTTTATGTTGCACATGAGGATCATGCAAGAGGCTTTTTGAAGACACATACTAGTTAAAAGAGAAGGAGGCACTTCAAATACTTCATACAGGACATCAGGGTTAACTAGAAGGGTAATATAATTAGTTCAGGTAGATTTTGCTCACATAAATGGGAAAGTTTTGTGACTCAGGAAGATGGCATCAAGGCAGCTTCTGTCCTGCTTGCTTCCCACAGAATGGGACTGCAGCTATGTAATGTTAATTGCTATCATCAGGAGAATGGCAATACACTTTTATAAACTGCTCATGCGGAGGCACTGGCTCACACAAATGTCATCTACATCCAAATGCAGTGGCAGCTTTGCATATTCTTTAAGTGCTCAGCCTCTTTCTAGCAATGTTTTCTGTTTTTTATGAGCAATGGCCTCTTCTGCAGTTTATTTATTCTATGGTTATTCCATTTTTCCCCTAAGGAATTCATAAAAAGAGTGAGTCAGTAGGGGTCCCCCAGGTCATCTATTCTGACCCCCCCCCCTCCGCTCCTGCTGGCTCTACTCATGACTTGCCTACCATGTGCATGTCCAGCCTATCCTTGAACACCCTCACCAATGGGGCTTCAACCACCTCCCATGACAGGCCCTAGGGATCCTAACTGTCAGGAAGTACTTTTCCTTCTCCTCTCAAACCCATCCTTACTACAACAACCCTGTAAGGTAGATTAGGATGAGTGTCTGTGAATGGCCCAAAGTCGTCCAGTTACCTCCATGGCTGAGTGGGGACTAAAACTCAGACCTCCCAAGTCTCTTAACCAGTGCACTACACTGGCTCTCACTGGATTGTGTCTTCATTTGCAGCACAGCGGGAGTTATGATAGAAAGCATGTGAGGACTTGAAGAATAACACATCTCCAAACTATAGCTGAAGATATGAAGATAGTGATATGACTTCTTAAAGTCATATACTGAAAAGGTTAATTGTCCCAAGTATTTTCTGTTATACACATTTGAAAATTTGCCATAACTTATCTAAAGCAATCAGTTTGAAGCAGACTTCAGTTTAGAAACTCATGGCCCAATGCTTAAAGATTGTTCATAACATCACCAAATACTATGTTTATATTACTACATATTATGGTGCTGCAAGAAAGGCCCGTGAAATGAACATACATGAATCAATGCACTTTAACCTGAAAAACTGTTTGATAAGTTAAACCTATTACCAGTTTTACAAGTATAACGTGCTTTGATAAGAGGTGTATTGTGTATCTGTTACTGTACACCACCTTGATAGCTGCTGTGCTTAAAGCAGAAACTAAGAAAAACCTTGCTAGAGGAAAAACCTCGATAGACAAAGAGACTACCTTGGGTAGCATTGTTTCCAACAGGAAGCAGCAAAATGCCTCTGGGAATTTACTAGTAGGACTAGAAAGCAACAGCTCTCTCTTATAGATTGACCCTAGCATCTAGTGCTAAACGGTATAGTACCTCTCAACCTGGAGGTTTAATTATATGTTGACATGCCTCTCCTCCATCAACCCAAACAAATTTTTAAAAAGCCATATCAGGTAATAGACATCATTATAATAAATTCTCACAAGTTCATTATATACTGTGAGAAGTATTTGTCCTGCCAATCAATTTCACAGCATGACCACATGGTTAGACATTTTGAATGAGGAAGAAATTCTCTCTCTACACAATCCATAATTTTATAAACCTCTTTTTGTATTGTGTGCCCTGCCCTTTTCTGTTTGGTCAGCTTCTTTTGTTAACTAAGCACCACCAAATAGTTTACGTTCCTTTTAGGGAAGATCTACTAAAGAATGAGTAAACAAAATTTTTGTGTATTTAAGATATGATGAAAATGCTTCCCTGCAATTCAACAGAAATATATACACTTCCTCTTAAGTTTAAGAGAAATATAACAGTAGCTCTCAGAGAAATTAGCTGTGTGTTCCTGGCTTTAAAAAAAGGGAATCTCATTTAAAAATTATTCAAGTACAAGCATAATCCTGCACGTCAAGGTTTACTGGTGATCTGAGTATATTAAATTTTTTATCACTCATTTAAACAATCCTGATTTATTTCAGTTTAGTTTCAGCAGTTTTCCATACTTCACTAATGAAAGGTAAAATTCAACAGCAAGAATTTCATTCCTTTTTTGTCGTATTCATCACAAAATATTCAGAACATGAAAGTATATTTTAATACCTTTAAAATATTAGAAAGAAACTGCATTTTAATACCCCTTATAAAAAACACAGGCTGGGCAACTGTCAGAAATTTCCAATGCCTACTAATATCAATCAATACTTTAATTATTTTTACAAATGAGCACACTGGTTGCAAGGGGGGCAGACCCCTGATTTCCCCCTCTAAAGTTGGAGTCCTGTCACCAGCCTCATATCAGGGAATCTAAACTATCCTATGACCCTCCAATACTGCCTAGGGGATCACTCCCCCCAAGAACTTTATAGGGGCTAGTATTGAGCTAATGAAATATAAAACAGCATTCAGTTTTACAAATTTCAGATCATTTAATTTGATTATGTAATGCCTAGTCTTTCTCAAAGTCACAACATAACTATTGTCAAGGAATTATTTATCCAGGAAAAACCCACCAAATATATCACATTCTTATGGTAAAGCCTGAGATTCATTTCCTCATAAATTAGTACTAGCATTTTAAAATAATTCCTAAATATCTGTTTCCTTTATCTTTACAGCCAGGTTATCCCACCAGTAACATAATACAGATGGGAAGACAATTCTACTAACTGAATGGAATAGGAAAAATGGTACATCAGAGGATGCCCAGGCCCAAATATGACTAAGGAAATGTGAAAGCCCTGACCATAGCATCCACAATAAAGAATGGAAAAATCACAGCACATCTTTAAAGTTATGGTGTGAATTTTACTTGCATTAAATTACATGTTTGCTGCTCTCTGCATTGTGATAAGCTCATTTGCCACCTTCATTGGCCAAGCTAGATTTCCAGCCCTCTACAGATTGTGCACGCATAGTAACCCTCTCTTGCATGTATGAACACTAGCTGGTATGAGTGCAACTGCAAATTATGTGGAGAGACCAGCAGCAGAGTTGGCACATCAATAGCCTGTGCCTGAGTATCCAGAAGAAAGCAAGGTTCTTTCTGCAAAAATCCTTAAGAGGCCAAAAACAACTTCCAAGTTTCAATTTCTTGTTCCGGCTCCTGAATCTTTTCTTTTTGCTCTTTCTATCTAAAAATAATCCTTGTGCTTGTGGCTTTGCTGCTGCTGCTTTTTGAGGGCTATGGCAAAGATGCTCCAAGTACAGGGCAGGCTTGTAAAGACCACAGGGAAGAAATTTTGTTCAAATAGCCCACCTGAGACTGCCCCACTATATAGGAGAAAATGAGAAAGAGAAAATGTTGAAGGAGCCCATCCCTTTCCTGTCAACTTTCTCCAGCTCTCCTAGAAAGCAGCTCAGAGCTGTTGAGAGAATTTTAAGATTGTTTTAGGCTTGTGAGTTCCATTGATTTGTTGCAGGCAAGGGTATTTTTACAGATATAGCAAGTCTTTTAGTGAACTGACTCACTAAGCAAGCTAGAACAGCCTTCACAACCTGTCAGCCCAAAATTCATTGTTCAACTCTTTTTGCTTGTTTTCAACTATGCCTTATGAAGCACCTGCCGTCTTACCCTTCAATATCACTAGTTCAAACAAAGTTGCTTCAGTTCTGAACCACAAGTTCTTATACTAAAATGAAAGATGAGGAAAAGAATATTCCATTGGCATTGGATGCATATAAGTGAAAACACTTCTCTCTGAACAAACCAACTATGAACAAATATTTGTTTCCTATACTTCAACAGAATTTTTGCAGACTGATTTACTGACCTTGTGTCTTATGAAGAATCTCATGCTTATGGATTAATGGATCCTTTCCCATTTCCACCCTTTGTGCTGCCCCATTTCAGTTTGGCAGAATTTCTCTCAGTCAGGTCAACTAGGGGTGGGCTATCTATGTGATATGGTCAAGACCTAACTAAAAGCTTTTTAATGCAACGATTAACAGTTGTAGGGATACTGCAGGCCTCATGTCATAAGTCCACAGTAATCTAAGTACTTTCAAACTCCACTAATTTCAAATATTCAAATTCAAACATTTGAATTTATTAGTATTATTTTATTTTATTTAGAATATTTATATGTCATCCTTTTTGCAGAGCCTCAGGGCGGCTTACATTATTGCCACCTTCTCTCATCAGAACACATTAACTGCCACTCTCAGTAAGATATACCTTGAATGACTCCTCTCTACATAATCTTTTTTAACAAACTATGCATTCAAATCCTGGAAATAATGGGCTGGCTTTCTACATACAAGATTTGGTTTCATTCCAATTTAAATTTAATTGTAGCCCCTTGCTGACCTATTAACAATCTCCTAGTTCACATTGTTCCTGAGATTTCTCTCTCTCCTATCTTTTGAAACTCAATTAGATTTATGCACACAAACCCTAAGGAATGAGTATATCTTATTGTCAGTTATTCAAACTCAACAAAAGAATCCAAGTGTGGGGCCTGAAGGATGCACTTGGCTGCTTACCCTGACAACTCTCCAATATTAGAAAATAATATACCTAAATGCTTCAAATCCTAGTACATTTAAGAGACATTTCCTGTGCTCACTTTAGCCACAGGCTGTTGATCCTGAACACATTTAATTGTGAAACTCACTTATTCCAATAGATCTTATCTACAAGAAATTGTGTTTGAAACCACAGCTTTCATATGGGTATTCAAGCACACTTAACACACATTTACAGTTCTTTGTATTCTCAATCAAGATAGATAAAGAACAGTATAAAAAGTCAGGTTTTTCCTAATTGTGTAGTCAAGGTTTACCTAATTTGTGTTAGCAAACACACCAAAGCAGGAAGTATTCCAGATTAAGTAGGAAAAATAGGTGTTAACTTCCAAAATAAGTGCATATAAAAAGTGTGCGCGCACGTGCATGTGTATGGAGGAATTCATCCAACAACCTTATTTTTCAGAAATTACCAGAACCCTACTTCAGATGCAACAAGTGCCTTCTTTGGAAGATAAAAGTTATATCCCTGACAATGGAAGACTTAACAAGTCTACAAAAACCTTTCCGCTTTCTGTGTGTAGCACACCAGTCTTACAGAGATCAAAGTAGAAGAGAGAGACATCCATTTTTTAACATATAAAAAGTTTTAACGCCTTTCCCTCCCATCAAAGCCAAAACGACTACGCAACGAGAATAAGTTTCAACCTATAGAGGCAGACAACATAGTGACTGTCTCCACTTGATTCGTTATACATAAAGTATTTTTGGTGTGCATAGGGGTGGCGATTCAATAGCGGGGATATTCAGCTTCGCCCCCTTGTTTGGGGGCATCAGCACAAGAGCAGGAGACTCCTCTTTTACCAGCGAAGGGACAGCACACGGGCTAGCGGACTTCCCAGGGCGGGCGTGAGAAAAGTTCCCTTTCCCGGCTCCTTCGGAGACGCGCCAAAACCGAAATCCAGACCTAGGAACGAGGGCAGCCGAGGCAATTCGAAGTAACGGGTTCCCCAGGGCATCTTCCCGTCCCCCTAATGCCCCTACCTGGTCCCCTCTACCTCCGGTGGGCTGAGTGTGTCACCCCGCCGACTTGCACCCGACCTGCTTGAGCCACGCCGCCGGGGAAGCCCAGTTAGTTGCTCAGTACCTCGCGCAGCCGTCGTCCCCGCCGCCGCCGCCGCCACCGCCACTCGCCAGCAGCCGCTGCCGCCGCCATCTTGTGCGCCTTGGGCTCTCCAGCGTCGCATGCAGCCGCCCCCTCGGCGGCGTCAGCGCCGCCGCTGCTCCCCCTCGGGCAGGTTCTCTGTCGCACACGCCCGCCCGCCCGCCCGCCTGCCGCGGGGTGTCCTCGTGCAGCCGGCGGACCACGCTTTCCTTGTGTCAGTCGCCGCTACAGAAGTTGGGACAAAGTGTCTGCCGCACCAAGCGTCCTTCGTGTCTGGTTTTTCGCGCAGCTCGCCTTGCAGGCTCCCTCCGGCAAGTTTGAAAAGACTTGACCCTGCTCACGCTGCAGCCGCTGCTACCAAGGTGCAGCATAGTCAGATCATTGGCCTCTGGAAATCGGTCCTAGGATTGCCTCCGCAATCTGGTGCCGGCCAGATGTTTGGGACTTGGACTCCTATCAGCCCCAACCAGCATGCTCAACGATCAGGAATGCTAGCAACTGTCGCGAAATATTTGGAAGGCACCAGCTTGAGACAAAGGCTACCCTATAGAGTTCGGATAATGGTATTTTCCATCCTTATCAGGAGATAATCACGTTTTTAAATCTGGAATGTTCCGTATACATGGGCTATGCCAGCTTTCCCCAACCGGGTGGGTACTTACCAGATGTGTTAGACCGCAACTCCCAGAAGCTTCCCCTGCCAGCCATGTTGTGTAGGGGATTCTGGGAGTTGCAGTCCAACAATAAAGTTGTAGCAGCGGGCATAGCTGTATCACTGAGTTCCTACGTATGCCCTGACCTAAAGGGGGGGTGGAGGCTGTCAGTTTCGGCTCACACATGCCTTGGATGAGGGCCCTGCCCTCCTCACTCCACAGATCCACCCCTTCCTGCTGGGCTGCCTAGAGAGTGATGGTATCTACGTTAGCTGCACTCTCTTGGAGACAGCCCTGCTCAATATTGGACACAGTACAAATTTCCTGCAGCACCAGGGAGACCGAGGGTGAGCAAGTGCAAGTGATGATGCCTCCTGTAACCAGCAGCTGAGGCAACTATCTTGCTAACAGCCCCAGGGCACAGTAGTAGGGTTGCGAGGAATCAGAAGCAGCAACCACTGCCTACTCTAGACGTTTCTTTGGGGTCTAAGATATGTAATGATATATGAAGTTATATATATTTCTGGCCTTAGAAAGTAGCATTTGTATGTACTGTATTATTGTTTGATCGACAACATAGTCAATTTAGGCTGCAGTCCTGTAGGCATGTATCTGGGCATAAGCCCTATTTAATCAATCAGACTTTTAAGTAAATAATATACCTTGCTTTTTAGTAAGCTTTCAGGGATTATGTGTGCAACATTAAATTTGGCTAATAAAAACATAGTGATACTCAACTTAAAATTTGACAAGGGAGACTATTTGGAGGGATTAATAACATTTTTGAGTTGCTGAAGTTCCTATGGAAATGGAGCAGCCTATCAAGACATTTTTGGTTATATATGCCACCCTGAAACACTTCCAATTAATTTATTGATTCCATTCTCTGTTTTCCTACCTACTATTGTGGTTTCCCCAACATTTTTATTAGTGCTGCTTTAACACAGAAGCAAAAGAATCAATAGCTATCTCTCTAGAATTCCTTAGGTGTCTGAATAGAGATGAAATCATTATTGGGATTTAAGGTGCAATCCTATTCAAGGCTAAAGAGACAAGGGTTACAACTCTCAGCATGTCTCAGCATCTATGCTTTCTGGAGCATTCTGGGAGCTACAGGCCTTTTTTCTGTTTAGCACAGAATTATGCCCTTAATAGTCAAAGTTAATAACAGGGAATTGCATGGAGGGAATTCTCTGAGATAAATTGAAGGACTGAAATAGTTTGGGATAGCTACTCAGCTATGAGCAAAAGGCTGTGCAAAATCTGCAGCAAAGTGAAGTGACTGCTGAACAGCAACAACAAGGAGGTAAAAACGGTGAGCGCTAGAACTTCATATGCATGAAGAAACAATGGACCCCTCCCTCTTGTATAGGGATTTCTTACTTGGATCCTCCATGTGATACCTCCCAAAATGCTTATTAATATATCAGATTTAAATAAATAAATAAAAGCTTAAAGTTGGCTTATACTGAGTCAGAAAATTGGTTCATCTAACCTAGTAGACTGAACCTAGGGCCTTATGCATGCAAAGCCCATAGGACTTGCTGAGGTTTGAGCCCTAGTATTATTCGTAGTTTGGAAAAGAATTAGCTGCTTCTAAAAAATCATGGATAATTGTCTATTAGAATTAGGAAACAGTTAACTAGCTATTAAATAATTAATAGGGGTGCCTCAGCACTTGATTGTGCGTAAGTAGCCTGCATAGCGGACAAGAATATGGAGAAACAGAATGGTTTCTTACTGGCAAAGGTGTCAGGCAAATGTGTACTTTATCTTCCTATCTGTTCAATCTGCATGCAGAAAGTATAAGGAAAGCTGGATGGGTTTCAGAAGAAGGAGTGCAAACTGATGGATAGGCAGATGATAACTGTATTACTGGCAGAAAGCAGCAATGAATTGAAACAGCTCCTTTTGAAAGTGGAAGAAATAAGTGCAAAAGCAGTGTTTCAGCTGAACACTAAGAAAACACTAAGAAAACAAAAATCTTGACCACAAGAGAATTACAGAACTTTACTATCAACAATGAAGAACTTGTGAAAGATTTTGTATACTTTGGCTCAGTCATCATTTCAAAGGAACGCTGCAGCCAAGAAATTAGAAGACTGAGACTTGGAAGGGCAGCTATGAAGAAACTAGAAAAGATCATCACATGTAAGGATCTTTCACTGGAAAACAAGGCTGAAATCATTCGCACCAGTGTATTCCCATTCACTGTGCCTGAGTTTAAAAGCTGTACAGTAAAAAAAGCCAACAGGAAGAAAATTGATTTGTTCAAAACATGGTGCTGCAGGACAGCTTTGTGAATATCCTAGACTGACAGAAAGACAAACAAGTGGGTGGGTCCTAGAGCTTTCCCTAGAAGCAGAAATGGCAAAATGGAGGCTGTCGTGTTTTAGACACATCATACTAGGGAAAATTGAAGGCAGAAGAGGAAAAGGAAGACCAAATAAGAGATGGATTGACTTCATAAAGGAAGCTACAGCCTTGATGGGATGTCATGAATAGGACATTTGGCAGAAATTCACCAGAATTTGGAGATGACTTGAGGGTACATAGCAACAGCAACAAGCTCCACTGAACTCAGTGGGACTTACTTTTGAACAGAGATATTTATTTATTTATTTTAATTTTTTATATGCCGTCCCCTTGCTATATAACCTTGGGACGGCTCATATATAGCCTTGCACAGTATTTTTTAAGTATTCTGCTGAACAATTGAGCATGATTGAGGTGCTTCAGATTGCTTACTGAAATCCCACTAAGTAGGGTAATTGAATTGGTGCTGTATTTTCCAGAGATCTTCCTGCCTCTTCTACCTAAGAATAAGATGAATGTAACCACCCATTCTGATGCTGATTTGTATGGAGCATGCCTAATGGCTGCCCCTCCTCACTCAGTTTCTGAGAGCTCTTACATCTTCCCTTTTACTTCGCTTTTTCTTTTTTTGCCAACAGCCCCTTTGAAAGTTAACTTTTATCTGCTTTTAATACATATTGTCAATAAGAAGACCAGATTAACCAGGGTTGCCTTGAAACTTTAGAAGAGGCTTTACTCACCAAGAAAGCTAGAGGTATTCTGTTGATAAAGCTCTGTTTTCTTAAACTTGAATGTATTCCTGTTTCTTCTGTGAGCACAAGAAAAATGTCATCTTCTGCTATGTTCCTCTATCATATTAACAGTCTGTCATGTAAATTAAATTAATTATAACCCTAGGGAATAAGCTGGAGACAGATTCTAATGCAATAGGAATGTATCCATCATAATTTTCTATTGTTCTTTGGTTATGCATAATAGGATTTGAAGTCTTATTTAAAAATAAGAAATGTATCAGGCTGATGTGTCAAACATACAAACTGAACTTTGCTGTAGCAGCTTTTGCTTCAGCAAAGTCATTGCAGCCAGCTGTCTTTACAAATGGCTACATGTATACCTCAGCACAATTTCATACTATGTTCTCCTTTTCTTTATTCTGTCTCATTAAATTAATTGGGTTCCAGAGAACCTGCACTAATATTAATGGTCCTGAGGCATCCCACCGTATCCTATAGGAATACAAGCAGTCAAAACCACAGATTGTCCTGTCAGGTCTCCCTTTTAAAAAGGTCCCAGCTAGTTGTCAAAATTCCTTTCCCCTAGAAAAAGTGTGTGTACACTTTTGCAACTTTCTGAGCATTAAGTGGTTTCGGGAAAGTGCAAGAAGTGCATGAATGTGTGAACTAGTTTGGGGAAGGACAGGGAAAGATTAGGAGCAAAGCAGGGTGGGGTGGGGGGAAATGCTAAAATAGCCCTTTTAATGTACAAAGATCTCTCCCACCTATGGTTTCTCTTGATAGTTTACCTTTAGGCCTTCATAGTTCTGCTCCTAATGTTTATGTAATACTTTTTGCTTAAAACAAAATTAAGAAAAGAAGTCACTGTCCCCCCAGGTGCTGCTTGGTTACTTCCAAGGTGCTATTAGTGGCTGTCAACATGGAGATCATATCAGGTGGCTGTCCAACTGGGTTTTTGATCACAAGAAAAAAGGGGGAAAGGGAAGTCATGACAAGCAGGTTGTGATTATAGCAGGGAGTGAAAGAAGGAAGTGCCAGCTACTTCCAAATTCTGCATAGGTACTTCAGGGGTGGCTGGCACTGTTGGATAACCAGGAGCCACTTGACAAGAATGGCAAGAACTTTTTCCTGTTTGTGTATAGAAGCTCTGCAGGGAAGCTCTGATCCCCTGAATTTAGGATTGGGTAGGTCATGTGTGGACCAGTCAGTATATAGAAAGGCTTGAAAGATATTTAACAAATCTATTTACATTTATTTATTTTTTTAATTTATATGCCATCCATCAACCAAAAAAGCTCTCTGAGCTCATTGACCTCATGCCAGCATTCAAGTTCTCTGGAGCATTTTCTAAGATAGTTGATAAAGCAAAAACAAACAAATAAAAGTCAGGTGGAGCGACTGATGTTGAAGTTACGCAGTTTGTATGTAGTCAGTATCAATCACTTCCCCTCCCCCCATTCTTTCACACACCCCATAGTTTAATTTGCTATTTATTTACCATGTAAATGAAACTACAGAATGAAGTCACCTGGAGATTGGGTCTGAGAAGTTTAATCAGATGACACCTAGCTTTGTCTACCCTTTGCCTAGGACTTCAGGGAAAACCTTAAATCATCACCTTATCCAGCTGTGAGTTGCTGGATGTAGGAAAGCAGATGGAATTTAATCCAGATAAGGCAGGCATCTTCTTTGTTCTAGAGCAAACAAACCCTGATTGTGAACACAACCCGTGGTTCGAAGCTTGTTGTTACAACTTTCTTCAGTGCTGCTTTTAGATATTCAGGTTATGTTTTACCAGCTTTGACTGATACAGGAAATCTCAGCCGCAGTAATTCATACTTTAGTATTCTGCACATGAAC